ATATTGTAGGCTGTGGTGATCGCCAGAAAAAAGCTAATATAACGCATTACACGCTTGTCTTGTCCCGTGACTCACGTCGACTTTTATTCCTCCATGTTATTATGCTCAACTGCTTTTACTTTTATTTAACAGCCCGTATTATACTCAGGATAATAAGGAGCTGGTGCATCGACGTCGTTTCTCATATCCAAATGTCATTTGCAATTTATTATATCTATCAATCTAGATAAATCTCAAATTCTGAGATTACTATCTCCAAAAGTCTAGTTTAGTGAAATAAAAAAAGCGGAACAAAAATTTAACTTAAAAAAAATTAATTTAATTAAGAAGATATATTTTTGGACCAAGAAAATCATTTTAAAGAATTTTATCACCTTTAATCAAGTAATTTAAATGTAACAATTATTTTGTCATTAAAAAATTTTTCTACTTGATTAAAAAATTGTTATACTTTTTTACAATTATTTTCTTAATTGAAAAATTTTTTTTTTTTTTTTTTTAAATTAATTATTTTATCAGTAGTAAAATTTTTTTTAACTAAAACCGTAAAATTTCATTAAATATATAGAAAATTTTGATCTGAAAATTTTTTTTAAATATTAAAATTAAAGCTTATTTAATAAGCTTCCACATTTATTTTTCAGAATTTAAAAAATTTATTGCATTCAAAATTTATTTTGAAAAAAAAGTATAAAATTAAAAATTTTTTTTACTCCAACGCGACGAGCTAAGTCATAAAATAGCAAAATTTTTCAAAAATTACTTTATAAAAACAAATACAATAATTAAATTTCTATGAAATTTAAATTTTTATTTAAATGTAAGAATAATTTTTTTAATTTAAAAATTTTTCTACTTGATTAAAAATTATTAAACTTTTTAATAATTATTTTGTGCTGATCCGAAAAATTTGAAAAAATATTAAAATTAAAGCTTATTTTATAAGCTTCCATATTTATTTTATAGAAATTGAAGAATTTATTACATTCAAAAGTTATTTTTAAAAAAATTATGAAATTACAATTTTTTTTAGTCACTTTATGAACTAATTCATAAAATAGTAAAATTTTTGTCATAAAAACAAATAAAATAATTAAATTTCTATAAAACTTGAATCAATTTTTATTTCACATTTAATCCTTTAAAATGTATGAATTTTCTTAGCCGTACTGCGATTGTGTATTTTAATTGTTTGCGCACTTAATTTATAGCTTGTGATGACAGTGAATAAGAGTGACAATAACACTAAACACAAGTACAAACCCACAGTATAAAGTTGCGTTATACATTTTAACTTTTTTAAGTAATGATTAATTTAATATTTATCGAGTTTAGATAAAAAGCCTGGAAATTATTTTATTTACACTTTTCATTAATTTATAGTCATTTTTATTTAATAAAAATAATAAATAAATGAGAAACTTGGAAAATTTATTTTTATAAGCAGTAGAGTAAATACTTTATAGTTTGCCTGCGCGAATTAACTGAATTAACATTTGTGTGTTAATTAAAATTAGTTGTAAGTTTTAGTTTATTTTCTCAATATTTTATCAAATTAAAGACTATAAAATATAAAATAATTTATAATAAATTTTAATTTTAATAAAGAGAATAATAATTAATAATTAAACAAAAAAAACTGAAAGTTATGAATATATTTTAAAGAAATGTAGAGTTAAATAATTTTCCTTTTTAGAACAAGTAATTATTTATTGCATAATTAAATGCAAACTGTCGTGACTAGATACTAGACTAAAGGTTCTAGTTACGTTAATAAACAAAAGATAACAAGTTTAAAAAAAAAATAGTCACTTTTTCACCAGCTTTTAAATCTAACGAGTTAAATAGAATAAAAAAGAAACAAATTGTATAAATGTTGATGAAGACACGATGAATAGAATGAAAAAACATCCTGAGATGAGCCGGAAGCAACTTGTTGTGTAATAATAAATCACAAATGCAAATTTAACCGGAATTGTAGACTTATATTATTTTTGAGGAAACGACACGATTGCTCTTGATATCCAGGTAGTCAGGACATCCGTTCCTAAGAACCCGGCATTTTCCGTGTCACCAGTAATTCTCAAGCCAAATGCAAACGTTTAATTTTTTCATTTGCACAATTACATTGTAATTTTATCTATTAACTACTGAGATGTATAGTTAGATAAAATTTCCATCGCCCATAAATTACCTGAGTATTGATACAATAAATCACAGGTGATATTATCAATCAATTACACTTGATACTTTATTCAGTAAATATTTATCTACTTATACTTATATTGATAATTACTATAATTATTTTTAATAATTCATTTGAATTTACAAACATAAAGCAATTTTATTAACGCGCTTTTTTTTCTTTAATCTTTGCTATAAAAATTTTTTAAGGTAAAGTATTTTTAAAAATATAAATTATTTTTAAAATAAATATAAATTTAAATCTTTTACTTTTCAAAAATCAACCATCTTTTAGTATGCTATATTTATTTTTTAATTTTTATGACTAAATTATTGATAATAATAAAGTTAGCCGACATTTTTGATTTTTTTAATTTGCTTGATTTATTAAATTATAACTAAAAAATATTTTTAAAAAATTGCACTTATAGTTTTTGAAGTTTTTAACAAATGAAAAATTTTTTTTGTAATAATTCTTTAATAAAAAATTTTTAAGGTAAAATATTTTTAAAAATATAAATTATATTTAAAATACATATATATTAAAAGGAGAGAAAATTTCAATTTAGTCTTTTGTATTTTTTCTAAAATTAATTGTTTTTTTTTTATCTGATTTTTTCTTTCAGAAAAAGATAATTTTAATGGACCGTAAAAAACACACCCTAAAATCAGGTGCCCTAAATCTAAATCTTTTTAGTATTATTTCATCGAATTCTTTTTGTGTTTTGTCACAAAAAAAAAAAAAATTAGTCTCACCAGAATTTTTTTTTGTTAATTTTTACAGTCAAGTCTGGTGTTAGCCAGCCGATTCTTCGAAAGAAATAAAATTATAACACTTGTATTGTAACTTGTAACAAGTATCACTTATATTAACTGTGGCCAGTATTTTAAATTAATTGTGTAACAAAACGCAACAAGCATCCGCAAGTGATGTCGCAAATACGATATTCGACACAATATTTAAAAACTAAATAAATAAATAAATAAATACCTGAATTAATAATAAATTTTGGCACTCAATATTAATCCACAAAAAAAAATACACAACAGCAAAATTTCTCCAGCGATGACATTGTTTTGAAAACTTCAAGCCGAATGATTGGCATTGAAATTAAAAGAACCGTTTCATATTTAAACACGTGAAAAAATTTTACCAATAATTATATAACACACACTCTGAGATCTGTATAGCGGCGTGTGATTGTAAGCCAACACTTGTTGAATTTACCGGTAGCGATAAATTTATTCCTTGTGTTTATCTTTAATTTTCGCGAAATCAGAGATAAAAATAACGAGAGGTTTTCGCTTAACCGGGTGATCAATTTAATTAGATTCTAATGATACTACTGAGGGCTTGCGATGAATATTTTATAGATGTTAAGTATTTATTGCGTAATATAGATTTTATTATATACTCACATATAATGTCCTTATAATTTTCACAGTCTTACGAGGAACCATGGCCTACTTGGATTAATCCCCGGTAAACAACCAAGTCCATGGATCGTTTATTGATTATTTGTCAATGGTCGAACCTAACTGTGTCATCCTTGACTAAACTATTTGCTGCCAAATTTATGATTTACTATTATGGCTTTTAAATCTTCCATCTGTCAAAAATCAACCATCTTTTAGTACACTATATTTATTTATAATACTAAAGTTAGCCAACGTTTTTCATTTTTATAATAATTTTTATAATAATTTTTTCAAGGAAAAAAAGTTCTAAAAATTTTTAAATGTCGACTAACTTGATTTTCATTATTTATTTTTTAATGATACTGAAATTTAAAGACATCTGTCAATTTTATTGAAATTAAGTTAGCCAATATCTAAAAATTTTTATAATTTTTTTTCATTGGGAAAATTATTACAAAAAAATAAGAAAAAAAATTTCATTTTTAAAAAACTTGAAAAACTTATTAATAAGTGTAATTTAAAAAAAATATTTTTTTGTTTCTATTTAATGAATGAAAGAAAATTAAAAAATTAGAAACGTCGGCTAACAGTAGTATTGTCAATTTTTTGAATTTTTGTAAAAGAATTTCTAATTTTTTTTTTTTAATAATTGATTTTTAATTAAAATTATATTATTTATTATAATACTGGTCAGCTGACATCTGAGAATTTTTTTAGTTTTTATAAAAAATAAATTATTTTTAAAAAATTGCACTTGTGAATTTTTTTTTAATTTCTAAATGTGGAATTTTTTAATTAAAATTTTTTCATAGAAATTTAATTTTAAAAATCCAAAAAATTGACAAATGTCAGTTAACTTCAAGATAATTTTTTATAATGTTCTTTTTTTAAATTTAACTTACCAAATTTAAGGATTGATCACGATTTCTTCCTGCTATTTATTTAATCGAGTTTGTTTCTGGCCTTCGGCTTTTACACATGTTAATTTTTGATAAGTAATTAATAACAAACTTTTTATCAACTTCCGAAGATCAACTTTGGTAAAAAATTATTTGTAAATGTTAATTACTGCTATTAATTATAAAAGTATTTATTTTAATGATTATTGATTGAAGTGATTAATAATATTGATTATTTTTTGGTTAGACTTTAATATCAAGTTTTGCAGAAACAAATCAAAATTTATCTTCCTAATTCGATTAATCTGCCGAATAATAAAATATTCAGACTACCACGCCGCAAGCGGTGGTAACTTGAACTAATTTTTCAAATCAGCCGGCAAGTTAAATTTCTGACAGCTAACTTCGCTCCGGTGTTTGTAAACAACTTGCCGCTTTTATTTACGCTCAGAATTTTAGAGTTTTTAATGATTTATTTATTGAAATAATTTTTAAAAAATGTCAATCAAAGCTCTTGATGGGAATATAGTCAAAAGACTGACCACCACGCAAGTAATTACGTCTGTGTTTAGTGCTGTCAAAGAACTTGTTGAAAATTCTCTGGATGCTGGCGCTAAAAATATTGAAGTTGTTCTTGTAAGTATTTTTATTAATAAAACAAATGAAAATACTTTTTAATAGTTATTTAATTTTTTAATTATTGATTTTAGAAAAATAAAGGATTGTCAGTGATTGAAGTTAAAGATAATGGGAGTGGAATATCAGCTGAAAGTGCAAATTTAATGGGATTACAGGGTTATACGTCTAAACTGACAAATTTTAATGATCTAGGTAATAGTTAAAAATTTTTTAATTTTATTTAACAAAAAAATTTCTTCCAAAAAATTATTTTAAAAAAATTGCATTTTTTATTTTTTACAATTTTTACATGTCAATTATTTTTTAATATTTTTTTTTTGCACTAATTTATTTCTTAAAAAAATTCTAAAAATTATTAAATATCTGCTACTTTAATTGTCATTTAATTTTTTAGAAATTGTTACTTGTTATTTTTTATTACTAATAATTAAAAAAAATTTAATAGAGTCATTAACAACCTATGGATTTCGTGGAGAAGCACTTAGTTCACTTTGTAAAGTCTCTAAAGTCCAGGTAATAACACGGACAGTTGAAGATAATGTTGGTAGATGCTATACTATGGATCACAATGGAACAGTCACTGCTGTTCAACATTGTCATCGTACTTTAGGTAATTTTATTTATTAATTATATAATTATTTAGATTTAATTTTTTTTAAGTAATTTTTAAAAAATTAGTTGATCTGTCAATTATTTTAATTTTTGTAAATTTTAATTTGATTTTTATCAATTCTGTAAATGATGTTTGGAAATTATCAATCAAAAATAAGACAAGTAGATAATTTTATTTTCAAGTCGAAAAAAATCCTTATAGTTAAATAATTGTCAACTAGCATGTGACTGCCGTGACTTGTGAACTATAAATAAATAAAATTTTGGTTTATTAAATAATGATTTTTGTTAAATTGCACTGTATATTCTTAAATATTGACATTTTTAAATATATAAGCTCATCCTGATGTTACACTCATCAAGAGCTTTCATTTGAATACCCACATGCATTTTCATATATATATATATATATATATATAAGTATATAAAATATATGAAAAATTGATGTGGGTGCTCAAATGAAAGATCTCGATGAGTGTAATGTCCAAGTGAGCTTATATCTTTAAAAATGTCATTAGTTGTCAAGATAGTAATGTCAGCTCTTAATTATTGATATTTTTTAATATATAAGCTCATCCTGATGTTACACTCATCAAGAGCTTTCATTTGAGTACCCATTTCAAAAGTTGATGTGGATACTCAAATGAAAGGTCTCGATGAGTGTAATGTCGGAGTTAGCTTATATCTTTAAAAATGTCAATGGTTCTCAAGATACAAGGTCGTTTCTTAATTATGTATCTAGAGATAGAGCATTTTCAAATGCAGCCGAATTACTTATCATAATAAATTAACTATCGGTGAGAATAGACTAGACACAAAATTGTTTTTATTCTCTTTATAATATAGATTATATTAAAAGAACGAAATTAATTGACATTAGACAATTTTTTAAGCTTCTTTTTATTATAATTGATTTGTTACAAAAATTAAAAAAATTTCCACTGTCTATATCACATCTTTAATAATAAATATTTAATTCTAGGTACAACAGTGAGAGCAGAAAATTTATTTTACAACATCCCAGTACGCAGACAAGTAATAACCGACTCAAAAACAGCCAACAAAGACATCAAAACCACTAAAAAATGGTTGCAAAGTTACGGAATCTGTCGTCCGGAAGTCTCAATAAGTTTTATAGTAGACTCCAAGAATCTTTTTTTAAAACATGCGAAGCCAAACTACAGAGACTGTTTAATAGAAATATTCGGCAGAAAATTAGTTACAAGCTGCGAGTTCATCACTCACCAAGATAATAAAATAAACATCGTACTGACGGTCCCCAGGAAGGACTTATCAGATCTACATGAAGTCTGCAGTGCAGAAAACTCTCATATATTCGTAAACAAACGCCCTGTTTATTTTGACGAATTCGAAAAAGCGATTGGCAAGATAATCGGCGAGTATTTCAAAGATAAATTAGGTAAGAGCAAGCTGTGTTTTTTTCTGCGCATCGACGTATCTCCATCTGAGATAGACGTCAATCTCGAGCCGAACAAAGTCAAAATTTTAATGATCAACCAGTCGAGTGTCTTGGAGCTGATCAAGAAGCTCCTGGTTGAATATTATGGTCTTGAAGAAGAAACTGATGAGCAAGCTGGATTGACTAATTCAGAAACTATCTCTTCGCCGGCTTATTTTGACTCTACTTTTAATGACAGTGAAACTGAGGAAGAAATGAGTAATAAAAAAAGGAAGTTGACAAAAAAAAACTCTAGGAGTTCGCTGAAGAAGAGTAAGATGAACGATGATGATAAAGAAAATGTTTCGAGAGAATTTATGGAACCGATTGAAGATACTATTAAAGAAAAAGATACTTTTAAAGAAAAAGAGAAAGATTTTGGAAATGAAAGCGAAATTATTGAAGACGTTTTGAGTCAGGTACCAGTGGTTGATCTTGGAGAAGATTTTTGTACGCAAGAGATTATTGATAAGCCAACTTTGACTATAGAAGAAATGGAATTGTTGGAGAAAAAAATGCAGAGTGGGATTTTAACTTTTGATGAAGATAATGTTTCAAGCAGTACGCCAGATTTAATTAATGATGCTCCAGCTAGGTCTGATGCACCTAGTGTACCTAGTACACCTAATACTCCTAATACTCCTAATACTCCTCAGTACACTTTGTCACAGTGGAGTAAAGGACACTTACCGATTCAGGTAATGTAACTGATGCTGAATTTTTTTATCTAGAATTAATTTATTAGTGAATTATCTATATTATTAAAAGAATAAGAATAATTCTGTTTCCAGGATAGTTACATGATAAAATCGGATTTTTGCATTCAAAAATGCTCTATCTCTAGATACATAATTAAGAAATGACCTTGTATCTTCTGAAATATTGACCGTTTTAAAGATATAAGCTCATCCCGATGTTACACTCATCGAGACCTTTCATTTGAGTACCCACATCAATTTTTCATATATTATATATTTATATATATATATGTATATATGAAAAATATATCAAAAATGCATGTAGGTACTCAAATGAAAGCTATTGATGAGCGTAACATCAGAATGAGCTTACATCTTTAAAAATATCAATAATTAAGAAATGACCTTGTATCTTGTCAACTACTGACATTTTTAAAGATATAAGCTCATCCTGACAGTACTCTCATCAAGACCTTTCATTTGAGTACCCACATCCATTTTTCATATATTTATATATATTATATATATACGTATATATGAAAAATATATCAAAGTGTGGGTACTCAAATGAAAGATATGTATATATGAAAAATATATCAAAAATGCATGTAGGTACTCAAATGAAAGCTATTGATGAGCGTAACATCAGAATGAGCTTACATCTTTAAAAATATCAATAATTAAGAAATGACCTTGTATCTTGTCAACTACTGACATTTTTAAAGATATAAGCTCATCCTGACAGTACTCTCATCAAGACCTTTCATTTGAGTACCCACATCCATTTTTCATATATTTATATATATTATATATATACGTATATATGAAAAATATATCAAAGTGTGGGTACTCAAATGAAAGCTCTTGATGAGTGTTACATCGGGATGAGCTTATATTTAATAATTTTTTTAACAAATAAATTATAGCAAAAAAAAATTTGTTTGGTAAAAAAAAATGAAAAAATTGTCTAGTAACTGTTAACTTTAATGTCATATTATTTCTAGGGAGGAACAAATGTGGTAATTGGTAGACCGAGTCCGGGGAGTCAAAAAATCAAATCAGAAGCAGAAAGTGGTTTTCAAATCTTCTGTCGAACTAATCACTCGCAAAGTTAATAAATTTATTTAATTAATAGTAGTTTAATTAAAAACAAAATTTTAAATATTGAATTATTTTTTTGTAGTGTCCAATAAAAGTCCAGGAATGAATCCAGTTGATTCTGCCGCTAAGTTGGCGGAAAAATGGAGACAGCTGAGTCCAGCAGAACGTCAACATTACCGGGAACTGGGTCGCAATACTCATTTTCCCCTAGATACTAGTTTTAGTAACCGAAGTCAGAAGAAAAAGCTTTCAAAAGCTCCTGAGAAGGATAATAGGCTCATGAAGATGCTGAAGCAGCAGCTTGAGAATAGAAAGCTTGCGAAAGTTGAAGAAAATGAGAGTAAAAATGAAAATGAAAATGAAATTGAGAATGAAAATAGTACAGGTGAAAAAAACAATATTGCTACAGTAGTGCCTTTAAATATAAATATGGATGATATAAAGGATGCTCAAGAGGGGAAGGGTAAAGTGAGTCTTGAAAAGTATCGTATTATTGGAAAATTGAATGAAGTTTGTTTCGCAACTACGAATACCCAAATTTGGGGATTTAAGTTAGAGTACTTGTTTGATGATTTGGAGTTGGATGAAGTGCAGCGTCAAATTGCCGAGGTGAAGTATAATAATTATTTTATTTTTTTATAGTCAGAATTTATTTTTATTAATTTCATTTTTTTGTTTAGAGAGATACCAGGAAGATTGAAAAATATTTTAATCAATGGATTGATGAAAAAGAAGATTTGAGAATTTTACACCGTATTTATGATTTAAGAAAATTAGATCCTTCGTAATGGTCATAAAATTTAAATTATCAATTAAAAAAAAAAATTTTTATTGTAAAAAAATTGTAATAATAAAATTATTTTTTTTCTTTTAAAAAATAAAAAGAAATTATTTTTCTAAAAAAAATAATTTTAAAAATTGGCTTTAAAATAATAATAATAATAATAATATCTTAAATTTTTAAACATAAGGTATTATTATTATTATTATTATTATTAATATTATTAATAATTTTGAAGCTTATTGAATAATAATAATAATTATTATAATTTAAATTGTTCGATAAAGTTATTTCCAATTTTATCGACTGTCAACTAATCAATACTTGTGAAAACTATCAATGTACAGTTTGTGCTGTTCTATAACCATAAAGTGAAATTATTTCTCACTAAATCGGCTCCGAAATAAATCCAAATAAATAAAATTAATTACTGAAAAATGGCTGCATGGAGACAAGCTGGATTAAAGTAAGATTATAAAATAATTATTCATTTACATGATTGATAATTTGCACCACTTAATTAATTGTATCACTAGTCTGACAATTTACAAAATTATGTAACCTATCATTGAAAAATATTTTTCATTATTGACTTAAATCAGTATTTTTATGACAATTTATACTAAAAAAAAATTTTTTTTTCATTATTTAGCTACATCAACTACTCGCAAATAGCTGCGAAATTAGTTCGCCAAGCTTTGAAGTCTGAGTTCCGTATCGCTGCTGCGAAACGTGATGATACCAGTGTTAAATTCACCCACTGGAAAGAGGGTAAACCAGTCAGTAAGTGTCTCATTTCAATATTTAATTCTTTATTAATTAAAATTAAGCTAGCCGACCTTCAAAATTTTTTTTCTAATGGAAAAATTACAAAAAAAAATATTTTTTACTTGCAAAAAATTTTAAGTGTAATTTTTAAAAAATATTTTTTAGTTTTAATTTTAATTATTTTAAAAAAATCAAAAATGTCGACTAACTTTAATAATATTTTTTTTATTCTTTTCTATTTTATTAAAAAAAAATCTAGAGATATCAATAAATTAATAATTAAATTTTACAGCTGAAAAAATGTGAACACATCACTTAGTAAGTCTTTAATTGGACCTGTGTGTTGTTAACAGAGTTATTTTCCCAATTACAGCATTACAATTAACAGTCAATGAATGAATTAACCTCCAGGTTTACGAATGCTAGTTAAAATTAAAATCTCCATCAATTATTATCAATCTAAAAAAATTAAAAAATTAAATTATTTCAACTAGCGTTCGCAAATCCGATACTTAAAATTTGAATAACTTTATTTATCAATTATTAATTTTACAATTTAATATTTTTGTTCAGAAACCACATAAACAGCCTCGCAGATCGGTAGAGAGTTTCACTCATCCCACACCATGGTTATAAATATTAATTATAAAATATATTACCATCAAAATTAAAAAATAACGGTGGTAATTCATTTATTTGGCCACATCAATAGTTTTATTTAAATCGTCATCTCTCAACCGGACAATGGGCTTTGCAGTGAACTAAAAAAATGTATAAATTATTAATAAAGATTATTAATTGAATCCACAACTCTATAACTAAATAACTAAATTCATTTTAACCCCTGACAGGCAAACATTTAGACAGAAATTTTTTTAAGAATTTTGTAGCAATTAAATAATTATAAAAAAAATTCGGTAATTATTTACAAGTGGGTTCTACCATTTTAATTTTTATTTTTTTTGAACGGGTTTTTTTTAATTTTGATATATTTTTTTTTTTTCGAAAAATAAATATAAAAATGAACAATTAAAAAAAAAAAGTTGATTACAAAAAAACAAATTTTTTAAATGTTAATTTTTCACCTAGATATGGCCAAAAATAAGTTTGATCCCACTTGTAAAGAATCCCGAAAAAAATTGACCTGAAATAATTTTGAAGTCATGAAAAATTTTCATATTATTTCATTAAAATTATAAAATAAAAATTATAATAATATTTTTTTTTTTTGTAACAAAAAATGGAGCGATCATTCTGGGGGTGCTTGTTTTTCAGGAAAATTGTGGGTGTGATACAATTATTATTATTATAATAATTTAAATGAAATAATATGAATTTTTCATAGCTTGAATATTTTTTCCGATTACCCTTGTAAATAATTACCAAAAATTCCACTTGTAAAAATTAAAAAAAAATTATCAGTGGAAAATTTTCAAGATTTTTTTTTAGAAAAAATTAAAAAAAAACAGTAAAAATATTCTTTCATTAAAATTTCAAGAGTACGTTTTACCTAGATCACCTTTCAGGGATTAATAAAAAAAATAAACTCACCAATAAACTCAGAAACAAGATCATTTTCGCTATCCCCGCGCATAGTTCCAGTAATTTCCTCATTTTCAACCATGGGCAGGAACATTTCCACAAACTCGGGCGTATAAGGCGGAGCGATGGCCTCTAGGACCTCAGTAACAAAGTATCTGATCAAACTAATATCAGTATCATCTTTCTGCCAGCACTGCTTGATATAGCAAACAACTGGAACGACACATCCTCTACTGAGTAAATTAACCATTCTGTCAATCAGCATTTTCTTCATCTCCAACTGTACCAAGATTTCCAGCTCGTCTTGCTTGCTCTCAAACAGCTGGATCAGAAGCTGAAGAACTTTGGGATGAAGCAAGTGATGGCAAGTGACCACTTCATCCAGAAGAGCCAAGTGGACTGGACAATACTCGGTGCTTAATTTAAAGTAAGAAGGCTCTGTGACAGTACATTCGACCCACCTGATGACTCCAACACTGACTACAGGGAACCTGATCGCCTGGTAGAGAGTGTTAAGCTCAGCAATAAGCTCCGTGGATCCCTTGTTGATGTTGCAGATATTGTGGACCTTCTCAATGGCCTGGATGGTGGTCTTTAACTCATCTTTATTCAGCTTCCTCGCGTTTCCTTTTTTCGGCAAGGTTTCGCAGACGCTAGCGGCATAAGCTAGCAGGTAGATGTACTTGCTCTTGTGTTCGGGGTTGAGCTTGACCCCAGGCTTGAAGAGGACGTCGACAAGCAGCTCCAGGAACTGGGGGTTCCTCACCAGCTCGATCGGAGGCGGCTCTGCGGAAGAATAGTGTCTGTAGAGGACAGAAATGTCCGCGGGGTTGAGGTTGTTCCTCGACAACATGGAAGTCAAAGCTTGGCACGCTGCAGGACTGCCAGCAGCACCGTTCAACGCCATGGTAATAGGCGTGACGTCGTGTCGGTTCTGCTGGGCGCATTTGGTGATTTCCTGGGACAGTCTTTTCATCATGAACCCGCCTCGGGGCTCCTGGGCGAGAATCTGCAGCAACACTTGGCTGTAGACGTACGTGTGCTGCCCGTGGCAGACCATTTTGGCACATTCCTGGATGCTGTTCTGCCAGTTTTCGGTGCTCTGGAGAAACCCGGTGATAGCTGTCTTGAGCACCCGGGAGAACACTTCAATCTGCTGAGCAGCGGTGGAGATACTCGTGATCTCTCCCTGGAAGCCCGCGTCCGAGATCAGTTTGATGGTGAAGTTCAACATCAGGCAGTCGGGGTATTCTTCAGCCAGTCGGTATATCAGCGATCTCCAGGTGTGGTGCTGGATCATCTCTGTTAACCAAGCGGGCGTCTCTCCCTCCTCGGTGAAGATTTTATCAGCCTTTTTAGGGTCGAAGGTCTTCAAGATTACGTCTTTTAGGTTGTTTTCTATCATTGCTCGCACGTCTCCTACGTCTACGCCTGCTATGAGCAACCAGTCTGCTAGCAGGTTCGCCATTTGCGCGCATGCTGTGTAGTTTTGGGATAATAGTTCTATTACTTGCTCCGGGTTGCCTCCAGTTTGAAAATACCTTGATTATTAAAAATTTTTTTAGGGTTTTATTTATTAAAATTTATTTAATATAAATTTTTTAGGTTTTTAGTTTTTTAATAAAAATTTTTTATGACACTGAAGTTGACGGACATTAAAAATTATTTTAGAATTTTATAATAATTAAATTATTATAAAATTCATAAAAATGAAGTTAACCGACATTTCAAAACTTTTAGAAATTTTTTATTGAAAAAATTTCAATTAAACAATTTAAAAAAAAATTTCACATTTAAAAAACTTGAAAAACTATAAGTGCAATTTTTTAGAAATATCTTTTTAGTTGTAATTTAATTAATAAAAAAAGTCAAAAATTTTTAGACGTCTGCTAACTTCTTGACAATTTTTTTAATAAACTAGGTCTAGAAAATTATTTTTAAAAAATTGCACTTATAATTTTTTAGAGCCTCTAAAGAAGAAATTTTTAAAATAAATTTTTCTTGCTATAATTCATGATACTAAAATTAGCCGACGTTCTACAATTTTTTATTAATTAAATAAGAACTAAAACATATTTTTTTTTTTAATTGCACGTATAGTTTTTAAAATTTTCTACACGTGAAATTATTTCTTTTAATTTTTTAAAAATAAATTTTCAATAAAATAAATTATAAAAATTTTCAGATGTCGGCTAATTTAATTTTCATTAATTTATTAGTTAAATTTCTAAAAATTTAATTATCAAGTACCTTTTAAGCTGGGTAAATATTCCAGGCTCCATTATATAATCTGGAGTCTTAAATTTGTCCAGACATTGCTGGAGTACTTCCTGGGGATTGTCAAGCACTTCCTCGCTTGATGGATCATCCCCGCGATGCATATCATCTCTCCAAGCTGTTCTGTCATCGTCGTAATCATTCGCCATCTATTTTTATCAACAAAATAATTAATTTTAACTTCTAATAATATAATAATATCAAAAATTAGATTTTTAAGGCTTATTAAAAAGTATTCGTTTATTTTTAAATAATTCTTGACGCTAGAAATTTTTTATTTACAATAATATAATATGAGTAAAAAATTATTATTTAATAGAAAAATTAAAAAATTACCTTGTAGTTTCTTAAATAAAATTTAAATAATTTTTTTAAGTAATTGTTAATAATAATTACACCCAATTAATTATAATTATAATTACATTTGTTTAAAATAACTAAAACACAACTTAACCTCAAATCATTGTGTTCAGTTTCTGGCGCCATCTAGTTTAGAATTCTCATTATTTTTTTTTTCTCATAAGCAACAATGACTTATTATTATAAAATTATTATTTTGTTAATAACATTTGTATTTATTTATTACACAATAATTTTTTAAAAACAAATAATTTAATTTTTCTATTTTCGGAGTGAATAAATAATTTTAAATTATCAAAATTATTCGTGAAGTTTTTTAATTATTTATAACTTTAATTATCCTGAAGTTAACTGACATCTGTCAATTTTTTTGATTTTTTTCTAATTACTAAATTTTTATAAAAAAATTATACAAATGCAAACTTTTTAAAAATAATTTAATTTTTATAAAAAACAAAAAAAATTATTAAATGTCAGCTGATTTGAGTATTATATTTTAATTATATATATTTAATGACAGATAAATAATTAAAAAAATTAATGTCGATAAAAACCGAGTTCTTTAAAAAATAAATAAATTTGTGACAGTTAAAAAAAAAATTATTAATTAATAAAATAAATAAAATAAATTTATCACGCAACATTAAATAAATATACCAGATTAAATAACAGAACTGTCAAAAGAAATTAAAAGAAAAAAATAAATTGACATGAGACTCGGGACATTCCGTTACTTGCGTGTCATTAAAACATTGTATTGTCTTTATCTCTTTTGCTCTCTTAAGTAAATATGTCGCGTACTCAACAAGAGTGTGTAGAGGCTGCATTGGTGGCTCTTGGTGGGCTCGTTCTCTGCTCGGCGACTTCCGACTTCTCACTTCTCACTTCAGTTTCGCTCAACGCTTTGATCAGTGATCAGTCCCCAAACAAACAAGTCGCGCTCGATCATCGATCCTAGATCGTAATCAAAACGTTTTTCTAAAAGTGAGTGCGCACTTGGCGTACTAAGCGCTAAAAGTTAATATAATTTTCCAACAAATAAAAAATCAACAGGTAAACAATTGCACAATTAAATGACTCTGCATCTGGATATTTAAACGTACTCCATCCGAGTACTGAATTCTACAAAGAATAATAATAACAACGTTTACAGTATCATACCAGCTGGCTGATCTTATACACTTGTAAGTTTGTTAATATTTATTTTTATTATTAACTATACATTCATATTTATAATATATTAACACTACACTATTAATAAACTGACCCTTACATTTTTTAGCGCAAAACATTCATTACGCAATTTTGTATGTATTTATATAAATAACACATACGGCTTATTTGTTCACCAGCTTAATTGGGTAAAAAGAAAGAATCCAGTAAAAAATAAAGAAAGTGTTTTAGCGAAAGGAAAATAAGTAAAAGTCACCTTTTTTTTTTTTGTATTTATTTTTATTATTATTATTATTAGTTTTTATAAAATTAAGTTAGCCGACATTTAAAAATTAAAAAAATTTTTTTTATTGAAAAAATGACTACAAAAAAAAAAGAAAAAAAAATTTCATGTTTAAAAAACTTTAAAAACTGTAAGTGCAATTTTAAAAAAATATTATTTTGTTCTAATTTAATTATTCAAAACGTCGGCTAACTTTAGTATCATTTAGTTTTTTATTCAATTTATTTTTTAATAATTAAATTAAAACAAAAAAATATTTTTAAAAAATTTCACTTATACAGTTTTTCAAGTTTTTTACAAGTGACTTTTTTAAAAAATTTTTTTGTAATAATTTTTTCAATAAAAAAAAATTCTAAAAATTTTTAAATGTCAGCTAACTTTATTTTCATTAGTTTTTAACTCAACAATTTTTTATTTTTTTTTATTAATTAAAAATTAGAACTAAAAAACTTTTTTTAAAAAATTCCACGTATAATTTTTAAAATTTTCTACATGTAAAAATTGTTTTAATTTTTTAAAAATTATTTTTCAATAAATTTTCAAATGTCGGCTAATTTAATTATCATGTTTTTAAGTTAATTTTTTTAAATTTGAATTGTAAATTGACATACGTAAGATTTTTTCCAATAATTAATTTCAATGAATGTAATTTTTTTTTTAAACAACAAGTAACCACGTGTTTATAATTTTTATGACAATTTTTTCCGTTTATTTATTCTTAAATAAAATGTTTACTTTTTTTATCAATAATACTCTCAACGTTTTTTTAAATGACATAATTTTTTTTAATCAACTCTCTAAGTATAATTTTTTGTTAATTATTTATTGCTATTTAATTGAAATTGAAACCATAAAATTTAGCTATAAAAAATTACATTAAAAAAAAACTAATAATAATAATAGTAGTGTCATTTCAATCTAGAGTAAAATAGTATGATTAAATTTATCTGTCGACCTTGTATCAATTCAAATTGACGGAAAAAAAATCAATATAATGACTAGTTAATAATGACTTAAACAAAAGATCAACAGACATTTAATTTATTAATTAAAAATTGTAAACAAAAACTTATAAATGTCTATTTACCTTTTGTTATCAATGACAATGTCATGCGCTACCGTATCATAGGTCAAGTAAATACCTTTGTTGGTAGCGCAATAAAAAAAAAAAGTAAATAAAAGGTTACATCAGATTAACAATTTAAATTAATTATTATTAATATTTATTTAAAATAATACATTTATTTGCATATAAATATTTAAATAATTAAAGTACAATTAATAGGTGCAAGTTGCAGTAGACATAGGATTGAACGAAGGCCGAAGCACTAACAATATGACCCACACTCCCGGCATCATTGGCCCATCAACCGCTCTTAAAGTCCAAAGTCCACAACGCCACATCCTCAACACTTACTCCTATATGTATACGCAAATATATGTGTATACAATACATGTCATCATTTTAATTCTCCTCTGCAATTATAATCACGATACTGCAATAATATCTAAATCATATATATATGTATTTCTTCTTGCAATTTTTTATCAAACAAAACACAGATATTAGATATCAATATGAATTGAAATATTTTTATCTATAAATTGCGCAAGTACTTTTTTTTATGTCTAGAATTATTTTGGGTTCAATAAATTGATAACTTAGTTATCACTAATTTTTTTTTTTCTCTGGGTATTTTAATCATCCAGGTGAAGTCTAGACAGATGCTAGTCATGATCAAAGGTCAAAAATCTTGAGAAGAAATAAATTTATTACTAATAAAATTTTTTTTATTCAAGTATAAGTTAAATGAACTCTGTCCTTAGTTGTCAATTTTTTTTTTTATATTGATTTTTTCTTTAATTTTAATTAACACTCTTGTAGATAGATAGATAATAATTTTTATTTGATTCTGGAGCCTACACATAAAAAAAAGTTCACTTGAGTCAAGAAAATATTTTTCTTCCTAATTATTTTCTTGAGCGAAAAAAAAATTTTTTTCATTATATTTTAAATTTTATAAAAATCTAAGAAATTTTTAGATGTTGGTTAAATTCAGTGTATTATAATTATTTATTGTTTAATTCAAGTGAATCTATTCGTTTGTTAATCTATCAAAATTAATTCCAATATTTTATTATCATGATAGATATTGATATTTTTTTCTCAAAAATCCAAAATTTATTTTAAACTATTCTTGAGCCAAAAAATTTCTGGACAAAATTTTTTTTTTCTCAGTGCACTCAAGACTTCAACCTGTTAATAATAATAATCATAGCACAAATTACGGAATAATTCAAAATTTTCAGCTTTCATAATTTCGGCTTGTAGCGCATTCCAAATGCGCTCTTGTATTTTATTTTAAATCTGAAAAATTCTAAACTGCTTTTACTTTGCAGAATAAAAGGCAAGCATGGCGGAAGCTCATTCAGCGGTAGCCTTCAGCTTCTCAATAACCCACGAAGGATGGGACGTTAATTTCGATCGAGAAGTTCTGCACCTAGTCTGGGAATCTGGATTACGGTCATGGAAGAAAAGATTTTTTAGATTCACTGTAAGAATTATTTATTTATTAATCTTATCTTCTATTGCTTTTTAAACGCCCGCTTTTGAGTAAACATTGATAACAATATTTTTATATTAAAATTTATTGACGTCTATCAATGTCAGTGAATTAGTCATCGCTTTTTATCACGTGTATCTGCATCAATTAAATAATTATATACCTATCACAATTGCCATTTTTTTTCTCAGAACAATTTAAAGACTGGAGTTTACCCAGCGTCATTGGAAAGCTTGTGGCTGACAATAGGAATAGTTGCAGCTATCCATTTTACTGGATTCAAGGTTCCTTATGATTTAGTTGGAAAAGTTGTTCCTTATGTGTCTGGGTAATTATTTTAATTTTATCAATTTATTTATTTAAAAAAAAATTAATTAATTATTTTACTTATTAGGTCCTCGATATCAGCCCACCTGGTAGCGTCAATAATAGTAGGCTTAATACTGTGGCTGGTAGTTATCTACACACTCCGTTATTGCCTGAAGTTACTCCTGATGTACAAAGGATGGATGTACGAAGCCCGCGGTCCCGGTGGAAAAGTAACTCTAAGTACCAAATTGTGGGTGATTTTGGTTAAATTGTTCTCAGGGTGGAACAAGCCGATGCTTTATAGTTTCCAAGGGTCCTTACCGCGGCTGCCGTTGCCCTCGGTTGAAGAAACTACGAAAAGGGTTAAGAATTTTTTTTATTTATCATTTTTTTGTTTAAGTATTTTAGATAAATTATTACAGTATATACTGAGATAAAAAATTATTTTTTAAAAATTAGGAATTTCTAGATACATAATTAAGAAATGACCTTGTATCTTGAGAACAATTGGCATTTTTAAAGATATAAGCTCATCCTGATTTTACGCTCATCAAGACCTTTCATTTGAGTACCCACATCAATTTTTCATATATTTATATATATTATATATATGTATACATGGAAAATTTATGAAAATGTGTGGTGGTACTCAAATGAAAGGTCTTGATGAGCGTAAAATCAGGATGAGCTTACATTTCTAAAAATATCAATAATTGAGAAATGACCTTGTATCTTGAGAACCATTGACATTTTTAAAGATATAAGCTCATCCCGGTGTTACATTCATCGAGACCTTTCATTTGAGTACCCACATCAATTTTTCATATATTTTATATATTTATATATATATATGTATATATGAAAAATATATCAAAATGCATGTGGGTACTCAAATGAAAGCTCTTGATGAGTGTAACATCGGGATGAGCTTATATCTTTAAAAACGTCAATATTTAAAAAAGTACAGTGCAATTTAACAGAAATCATTATTTAATAAAGCAAAATTTTACTTATTTATAGTTCACAAGTCACGGCAGTCACATAGTGACTGCTAGGTTGCTAGTAAGAAATTAATTTGTTAAAAATTTTAGAGAATTTTTTTTATTAAATATGAAAGTTTTCTAATTAAAAAAATTTTTTTTTAAATACAATATTTATAAATTAATTTTTTGTCATAATCATGGCACTTTTTAATAAAAATAAATTTTTTCTCTCAGTGTATATTATTAATACTTAATAATTAATAAGATTAATAATTAATTTTTACTGATATAAATTATATTTTACAGTATTTAAGAAGCGTGAGGCCATTACTAGACGACGAAAACTACGCCCGGATGGAAAAACTAGCAAAAGAATTTGAAGAAGGAATCGCTGTAAAATTGCAGCGTTACCTAATACTAAAGTCGTGGTGGTCGAGTAACTACGTGTCGGATTGGTGGGAGGAGTACGTTTATTTGCGCGGTAGATCACCAATTATGGTCAATTCTAATTTTTATGGTATTGATGCGATACTTATGCATCCAATAGACGTACAGGCTGCACGTGCTGCTAGTATTATACACTTGTGTTTACAGTACAGACGTAGTATCGAACGACAAGAATTGGAGCCGATTAAGTTACAGGGTCTAGTGCCTCTTTGCTCTTGGCAGTACGAGAGACTCTTTAATACCACGAGGATCCCCGGGATCGAGACTGACAAGATCGTCCACTACAATGACGCTAAGCACGTCGTGGTTTACCACAAAGGTCGCTATTACAAGCTGCTTATTTACTACAAAAACAGGATTCTGACTGCTTGCGAAATCGAGCAGCAGATTAACTACATCATGAGTCACGACTCTGCGCCAGTTAATGGAGAGGAAAAATTAGCCGCTCTTACTGCTGCCAATCGTACTACTTGGGCTAAAGCTAGAGAGGAATATTTTTCTAAGGGTACTAACAAATTGTCCCTGGATTTAATTGAAAAATCTGCGTTTGTTGTTGCGCTTGATGATTTTCCTTATGAATTTGATCCCGTAAGTTATTTTAATTATTTAATTTATTTTTTATAAATACTTAAAAATTTTTTTTTTATTTTTATAACAATTAAATTATTATGAGAAAAATTTAATTAAAAAAAAATTTTACATGTAAAATAGGTTACATGTTGATTCACCCCCTGAAAATTTGTTTCCGGACATTTCACCCTTGAAAATTCATCCTTAAAAATTGACTTTTTGGTGATTCTGATGTCACTAAAAATTCATTCTTCAACCAATTAGCCTCCTACAAAAATTTCTCACTAAAAAATTTCTTGATTTAAAAAATTCTCACAGAACAAAAAATTATCATTCAAAAATTTCTCAAAGTATATTAACTGAATTAAAAATTTTTTAACAAGGTATAATCATGGTTTTTGTGTGTGTTTATTTAAAAATAGGCCAACACATATAATAAGCTACAAATAATTAAATAAATTTAAATTATACAATATTTTTCATTAGACTGTCCATGTTTTAATAGTGTCAATTTTGAATCTCATGATATTCATATTTTTTTTTTTTTAAATAACATAAATTTACATTAATAATAATTAATAATTTCTATTTTTTATCGCATCTAAAATCATAAAATAATATGAAAAAATCACAGGTTGTTGAAGACTCAATAAAGAGTCGAAACGTCGCAATAATAACAATAACATGATTTTTTCGTATTATAATTAATAATACCAATCGGAAGCCGTAAAAAGACCAATGGGTAAATTTCAGGGGTTGAAATGTCTCAATGATGAATTTCGATGGATGAAATAGCCATATGATGGAATTGTTAAAGGTTGAGTTTATAAGGGTGAAATGACCCGGGGGTAAAATAACCAAGGTTGGTTTTTCAGGGTAAAAATTTACGGGGATGAATCGCTTGGCCACCATAAAAAATTATAAATGCAATTTAATTGATTAAAAAATTTTCTGACCAGTATCATAATTATTTTATTTATATTTAGAAACGGCCAGAAAAATTAGACCAGTATGGAAGAATTTTATTACACGGTAAAGGATACGACAGGTGGTTTGATAAATCATTTACTCTTTGCATTGGTACTAATGGTCGCATTGGATTCAATGCCGAGCACTCTTGGTAAGTCATAATTAAAATAAAATGAATTTTGTTTTTAATTTTCCCATTTAGTTAAAAAATATTATTTATAATAAAATATAAAAATATGTAATCGGGATTGTGAAAAAATCCTGAATCTTAATTACCAATTGAACTAAAATGAGCAGGGCTGACGCTGCAGTGATGTCTCATTTATGGGAGCACATAGTAGCTGAAGAAGCTGATGGGAGCATGTAAGAACCGTCGGATATTTTTTTTTTTTCTGATCTCTGCTTCAGCCGTGACTCCAAATTCTTCTGCTGCTGTTTCTACTTTTATAATTATTATTATTACTTTAAATTATAATATAATTATTGTACTTATTGTAAAACTAAGCGATGGAAAATCAGCAATTTTTATAAAGCTGCTTAACTTAATCGTTTATGCTTGTCAGGGCCGATGCTCCTGTGATGGGTGCTATGTGGGAATACGTTATTGGCAGTGACGTATTTGAAGATGGGTAATTTTCTCTTGACTATTCTTTAAATCTAAATTAAGCAACATGTTCAACTCACTTCTTGCTGCATTGCATTGTTCGTTAATTATTTTTTATTGTTTTGTTTGTGTCGCTTTGATTTCATCTGACCTAACATTTAAGCCTTAATATTCATCTTATTGCTCTAATTCAACAAATGCATTCTTATTCATCTATTTATTGCAATTATTTTAAAACAGATACAAAGACGGACATTGCGCGGGTACACCAGAATTTTCATTGACTCCTACGCGATTGCAGTGGGATCTTACTTCAGAATGTATTGATGAAATAAATCGTGCTGCAGAGGTCTTTTTTATTTTAATAATCTTATTATTTAATTAAAAAAATTTAATTTATTTGTGTCTTTAAAAATTGCAATTTTTATTTTAAAAAAATTGATTTATTTGAAAAATTAAATTTTTGATTTGAAACAATTGAATTTTTTTAATAAAAGATCGAAATTTTTACTTGAAAAATTTAATTTTATTATTTGAAAATTTGAATTTTTTTTTTTAAATTAATATTTTATTAAAAAATTTAATTTTTTAATTAAAAAATTTATTTTATTAATTTATTATTGAATTAAATTAATTTAAAAAAATTAATTTTTTAATTAAAAAATTTTATATTAAATGTAATTATTAATTTTTTTATTTAAAAAATTTTTCAATAAAAAAAAAATTTTATAATTTTTTTAATGCAATTTTCTATTTAAAAAATCAAACAAGTGGTTTAAAAACACGAAATAATTTAAATAAATTACAATTGCTAATCTAATGCAACAAGTTAAAAATAGCCAGTATAAAATTACCATTTTTTTATTTTAGGATGCGCATAAATTATTAAACGACGTAGATTTGCGTATTTACGTCCATGATAACTACGGAAAAGGATTTATGAAGACTTGTTCAATGTCTCCGGATGCGTACATTCAAATGGCACTACAATTAGCATACTACCGGGACGCTGGTAAATTTAGTTTGACTTACGAAGCCTCAATGACGCGGTTGTTCAGAGAAGGAAGAACAGAAACAGTCCGGCCCTGCACCATCGAGTCCGCTAATTGGGTCAAGTCAATGGAGAACGAATCCGCGAGCATCGCGGAGAGACACGAATTGCTGAAGGCAGCTGCGCTGCAGCACCAACGTGGCTACCAGGAAGCTATGTGCGGCAAAGGAATCGACAGACACTTGTTCTGTCTGTATGTTGTCTCTAAGTACCTGGAGGTCGACTCGCCCTTCTTGAAAGAAGTCCTCAGTGAACCCTGGAAGCTATCCACCTCTCAAACTCCCCACGGACAGACTCCTAAGCTGGACTTGAAGAAATTCCCTAAGTGTATTTCTGCAGGAGGCGGATTTGGTCCAGTTGCTGATGATGGTTATGGCGTTTCTTATATTATTGCTGGTGAAGATCTTATATTTCTTCATATTTCCAGCAAAACTAGTTCACCAGCTACAGTAAGTTTTTTTTTTATTTATAATACTGAAATTAAGAGACATAATAATTTTATAAATTTTTTAAATAAATAAACTAGCAACCTTGCAGTCACTATGTGACTTCCGTGACTTGTGGACTATGGATAAATAAAATTTGGATTTATTAAATAATGACTTTTGTTAAATTGTACTGTACTTTCTTAACTATTGACATTTTTAAAGATATAAGCTCATCCTGATGTTACACTCATCAAAAGCTTTCATTTGAGTACCCACATGCATTTTCATATATTTTTCATATATACATATATATAATATATATAAAATATATGAAAAATTGATGTAGGTACTCAAATGAAAGGTCTCGATGAGTGTAATGTCAGGATGAGCTTATATCTTTAAAAATGTCAGTAGTTGACAAGATACAAGGTCATTCCTTAATTATTGATATTTTTAACGATATAAGCTCATCCTGTCAGGATGAGCTTATATCTTTAAAAATGTCAGTAGTTGACAAGATACAAGGTCATTCCTTAATTATTGATATTTTTAACGATATAAGCTCATCCTGATTTTACACTCATCAAAAGCTTTCATTTGAGTACCCACATGCATTTTCATATATTTTTCATATATACATATATATAATATATATAAAATATATGAAAAATTAATGTTGGTACTCAAATGAAAGGTCTCAATGAGTATAATGTCAGGATGAGCTTATATCTTTGAAAATGTCAGTAGTTGACAAGATACAAGGTCATTTCTTAATTGTTGATATTTTTAAAGATATAAGCATCTCGATTTTACACTCATCAAGAGCTTTCATTTGAGTACCCACATGCGTTTTGATATATTTCTCATATCTACATATGTATAATATATATAAATATATGAAAAATTAATGTTGGTACTCAAATGAAAGGTCTCAATGAGTATAATGTCAGGATGAGCTTATATCTTTGAAAATGTCAATGGTTCTCAAGATACAAGGTCATTTCTTAATTATGTATCTAGAGATAGAGCATTTTCGAATACAGCCTAAATATTGATTATAATCGATTGACTATTGGTGAAAATGATAAGAAATTTTGAAAAGGCACAAATTCAAATCAAGACCTTTGCAATGACAGTAAATTTCACTAAGAAACCCACTTTATTATATGACTATACTGGACACAAAATTTTTCCTATTCTCTTAATAATATAGATTATAGCATGAAAAATTTATTTTAAAAAATTTAACTTTAGAAGCTTTAAAAAAATATAAATGCAATTTTTTAAAAATAATTTTTTAGATCTAGTTTATTTATTCAAAAAAATTGTCGTGTCTAATAATTTCAGTGTTATTTAATATTTTATTGATCATATATTTATTAATAATATAATTTTCAGGATTCATCAAGATTTGCAAGACACATAGAAAAAGCATTAGCTGACATGAAGGATCTCATGGTGTCTGTCAAGAAAATAAATCATCAAAAAAACGGATCAGTTAATTAATACTTCATTTTAATTAATTAATTGGTTCCATATTGTTTTATTATTATTATTATTATTATTTTAATTATAATTATTATTAACTATGCACAAATTGATTGAAATTAAAATCATTGTCTCTCGCAAAATAGAAATGTAAATATTCGTTAAAAATTTAATATTTCGTTTTTAGTTTTTAAAATTTATGCTTGAAATTTTGTTAAAAATTTTTATTTATTTAGTAATTACTTGCAAGAGACATACTCAATCACTGAGCAACCTATCAATGCAAAAAAAAAAAATAATTTAGATTTATATATATATAAATACAATATTTTATATACTAAAGTTTTGGAGCTTTTAAAGTATGTTAACAAAAATTAAATAAATTGTTACGAATATAAATATATTTACACATATATCTATATATATTATTGAATATATATAATATATTAAATTGGTGACTGGTTAAAAATGAAATTATTTAATTACATATATAACTATATATGTCTTTGTATATATATTATTGAAATTAACAATTTGTTATTTGTTCTTTTTTATAGAAAAAATAAATTTAGATTAAATGTTTCTTAAGCTAGCCTTGATTTTATTAATTTTTTTTACGTGACTTTGAACTGTCCCGGTCCTTACTCTCTTTGTGTCGGTGTTTGTTTGATATTATTGCATTACGCAGTGTTGAATGCAGAAATCGTTTATTGATTGTTTCTCTGGGCTTTACCCATCCACTTGGACCCATCACTTCAGCTCTTCTTGCTCCTATTTTAGCTTCTTCAATTAATGCTTCTGCAGCTAATCTGGACAATAATTTTATTTATTTTTAATATTACTCAAATATATTAATTACTTATGATACTAAAGTTAGCCGTCGGCTGTCAATTTAAAAAATTTTTTTTAAAAATTAATAACAATAAAAAAATGCTTATAAAAATTTTCACTTGTAATTTTTACTAATTTTCACGTGTGGAATTTTTAATTAATTTTTTTTTTATAATAATTTAATTGCTATAAAATTCTAAAAAAATTTTTTAATGTCTTTCAACTACAGTGTCATAATTATCTGTGTCAAGTATATTAAAGATAATTTAATTTTCAGTAAATAATAAATTATAATAAAGTGAGCCGATGTTTTTAATTTTTTGATTTTTTTCTAATAATTAAATTAGAACAAAAATAAATTTTTTAAAAATTTCACTTACAATTTTTTTCAAGTTTTTTTTATAAAAGAAGTTTTTTTTTTATTTTTTTGTAATAATTTTTTCAGTAAAAAAAAATTATCAAAAGTTTTAGATGTCGGCTAACTTAATTTTCATAATAATAATAACCCTGAAATTAACTGATATTTGACAATTTTTTTTTTATTTTAATGAAAAATAAATTATAAAAAAATAGTTTATTTTTAAAAATTTTGCACTTGTAATTTTTTTTAATATTCAGATGTTGAATTTTTTTATAAAAATCTTTATGAAAATTAATTTAGCATATATTTAATAATTTTATAACTAATAAATTATGGCAAAAAAAATAAAAATTGCAATTTTTTATGAAACTGAAGTTAGAAGACGTGTAAAAATTTTTGATTTTTTTTATTAATTAAATTACAACTAAAAAGATATTTTTAAAAAATTGCACTTATAGTTTGTCAAGTTTTTTATATGTGACAATTTTTTTTTTAATTGTTTAATTAAAATTTTTTCAATAAAAAATTTCTAAAAATTTTTAAATGTCGGTTAACTTCATTTTCATAATTTTTTACAAATAATTTTTTGAAACAAATTTTTTTGATAAATAAAATTAAAAAATTGTTAAGTGGTTGCTAACTTCAATGTCATAAAATTTTTTCACAGAAATTTATTCATAAAAATCCAAAAAATTGACAGATGTCAGAGTTAACTTCAAAATCATAAATAAAATCGCTATTAAAAAGGTTATATTTTGTTAAATTAAAAATATACAAATAACTCTTGTGTTTTTAATATAAAAATTGACATAATATCAAATGCAATTATTAGAAAAAAAAAAATAAATCATATTAATTATAATTATTATTATTAAACTAAATATTGATTGTAAAAAAAAGGTCAAACACTTGCTGTTTACAAAACTCTACACTCAAGTTATTAAACTAAAATAAAAACAAAAAAAAATTATGTCAACAATTATAAATACCTGTTTAATGTTTCTTCATCCATTATTAATAATTAATTACTATAATAATTAGTTTTTTTTTTTGTTATTTGCAATTGTTTGACGAACTTACTGTTTCTGTTTGTGTAACTAAACAATTGTTTATTTATAAATTTTGACAGGTGCTGCCTCTTTTACCTACAACAGCTGTAACCCAAAATAATTAAAAAAGGTGGCGCTTTAGTTGCCTATTACCGACATTACTTACTTACCTTCATTGCTATAGGAACGTCAAAGAAAAAAAAAGAAGGCGAGCCTCTACTAAGTACTAACTTCAAGCCCTTGTGTGATTCTAGCCTCGTGTTTGTAAGTTTCATTTTATTCTCATAATTTTTTACTAATAAATTTTATGAACTATTAAAAAAAATACTAATCTATAAAATAATTAATTTTAGAACCAAAGTCTGAACGTTTAAATCATACTTAGTTGATAATAATATATACCTAGACACCATGAAGAATACAATGGGCAACGATGCTAAATACGGAGGTAGCCACAAAAAGGCTTTCCAGGACAAAAGTAAACCCGCTGATATTCGGATTAGTAACATTCTAGCCGCAAAAGGTATTTATTTTTATTATTTAACTTATTTTTCATTTATTTTTTGTAATCTGTGTCAGAGTTGTCGTGGAGAGAAACATTGCCTTATTTGGTTATAATACCGGTTTTGGTATACTCCATTTTTTTTTTTTAATATTCAACTAATAATTTATATATTAATTAATAAATAAATCAATTTTTTTTTCAGCTCTTTGTGATGCTATTCGTACCAGTTTGGGTCCTCGTGGAATGGACAAAATGGTAAATAATTTTTATTTTACATGTTTAAAAAAATTAAGACACTTCAAATTTATCAAAAATTTTTTGTCAGCCATAATTAAAATCAATTTATATATATATATTTTTTTTTTATTTTATTTGGGGCCAGTTTTACAATCCGGAATAAAATTTTATTCAATGCTAAAATATATCTATATATTTTAGGTAAATAAATATACTGACAATAATAATTATATCTTGGATAAAATTTTATCCCGCATTGAAAAACTAAACCTTAATATAAGCCTTGATTTAGTAATTAATTATAATAAATAAATAGATTTTATTTATATCACATAAGTTGTGTTTTACAAAGATTTTTTTTTATATTAAAAAATATCTTTAGTTTGCACTCATATTCTTTCTCTTATTCTAACAATACTTTAGTTCACTATTTCTACTTTGTACTGTAGTTTTTTATAATTATTTAATTATATTAATGCTGTGCACCAAAAAATAAAATTACACTTGGTAATTAATTATTTTATTTATAATAATTTTAATAGATCCAAGCTGCAAATGGTGAAGTTACAATTACAAATGACGGAGCTACTATTTTAAAAGAAATGAATGTTATTCATCCAGCAGCAAAAATGGTAATTTACTTTTTATAATTTTTATTAATTTTTTTATTATTCACTGATGTTTTTTTAACTTTAAAATAATTTCCAGATTTTTATATTATTTTTTATAAAGAATGAAAAAAAATTGACACTTAGCAATTTTATAAAATTAAAAATGAAATTTTTTAACAAATTCGTTTAAAAAAAAAAAATTAAAAAATAATCGAGTGACTAAAAAATTATTTAAAAAAATTTTTTTTTAATAATAATTTATAAGTTCAAAAAATTATAAAAAATCAAAATTAAATTTTTTAAGCCATAAAAAAAATCTAACTAATAAAAATAATTTAGTTGGTAGAATTATCCCGTGCCCAAGACTCCGAAGCCGGAGACGGAACAACAAGTGTAGTAGTAATCGCCGGAGCTCTCCTTGAAGCAGTGGACCGTCTTCTCCACAAAGGAATCCACCCAACCTTAATAAGCGACGCGTTCCAAAAAGCTGCCGCAAAAGCGGTGGAAATCCTCAGCTGGACCATGTCAATTCCAGTGGACCTGGCAGACAAAGAATCTTTGATCAAGGCAGCGGCAACTTCGCTTAACTCCAAGGTGGTGTTCCAGCAATCGAGCATCCTGGCTCCTCTGGCAGTAACTGCAGTTCTAAAAATCACAGAACCTGGAAAAGAGCAAGCCACTGACTTGAAAGACATTCACGTGATCAAGAAACTCGGTGGAACAGTTGAAGACACCGAGTTGATCGAAGGACTGGTCTTCACCCAAAAGTCCTGCAACGTGAACGGACCCAAGCGAATTGAAAAAGCCAAGATCGGATTGATCCAGTTCTGCATCTCTCCCCCGAAGACTGACATGGACCACAGCGTTATTGTATCCGATTACTCTGCGATGGACCGTATTTTGAAGGAAGAGCGGACCTACATCCTGAACATCGTCAAGCAGATCAAGAAATCTGGGTGCAATGTTCTCCTGGTCCAGAAGTCGATTCTCCGGGACGCGATCAGCGACCTGGCGATCCACTTTTTGGACAAAATAAAGGTCATGGTAATCAAGGACATTGAACGCGAGGACATTTCTTTCGTTTGCAAGACCCTCGGCTGCAGACCAATCGCTTCCTTGGACCACTTCACCGCCGAGAACCTGGTGAACGCGGAACTCTGCGAGGAAGTCCAGACTGGCAATTCAAAGTTCGTTAAAATCACCGGGATCCAGAACCCAGGGCGCACTGTCACTGTCTTGGTTCGCGGAAGCAACAAGCTTGTCCTCGAAGAAGCTGCTAGGTCTCTGCACGATGCTCTCTGTGTCATCAGGTGTCTCGTTAAAGAAAAGGCCCTGATTGCTGGAGGCGGTGCTCCAGAGATTGAACTCGCGCTCAAGCTGTCCGCCTACGCACAAACTCTTGGAGGAGTTGACGCTTACTGTGTCAAAGCCTTCGCTGATGCTCTGGAAATCATTCCGTCGACCCTCGCGGAAAACGCTGGGCTCAACCCTATTGCTACTGTCACTGAGCTACGCAATCGACATGCCAATGGGGAAATTACTGCTGGGATCAATGTCCGCAAGGGTATGATTACCAATATTCTCGAGGAGAATGTCGTCCAGCCCTTGTTGGTATCCACTAGCGCTATCACTCTTGCTTCAGAAACTGTTCGGAGTATTCTTAAGATTGATGACATCATTAACACCATGCAGTAATTTTATTTTTTTTTTATAAATGCCTTATTTGGAGATTGAAATTATTGCCCAGAGTTGTCAGTTATGATTCTTTATTATTATAAGTAGTTACATTTTTATAAATATATTTGTAAAATTGTAAGATTACTTTGGTCAGTATAAAAAATTTTTTTTCAATATGCATTTAATTTTACGCTTTCAAACACTTAGCTAAGAATTAATACTTTTTTAATAAATCTAAAAATATTTAGATTTTTTCAATTAAAAAAATTATGAATAAAAAATTATTTGAAAATATCTCGAATGAAATTTCTATTTATTTAAATTTGATAACTAACTAAAAACTTTTTTAATTTTTAAATTAATAAATAAGTATGCAAAATTTAAATAAAATTAGATTTATTAAAAAAGCCTTAAAAATATTTGCTTAAACTATTAAAAAATTATAAAATAAACTCGATTTGTTCAATTTTTCTACTTTCAATAAAATAATATCAGTCAATAAAATTTAACAATAGTTCCAATAAATTTATTAAAAAATAATTTTACAAGTTTGGATTTTTAAAAATAATCTACTATAAATTGTAATTTGTAATTTCGTATACATTAATAATAATAATAATAAAAAAACAGAAAGTTTAGAATTTATTGTAGACAGTCTTTGTACGGAATATTGTAAAATGAGTGTGCGTAACCACGGTCCATTTTAATCAAAATCTCAAGTTTAAAAAAATTAGTGAGCATTAGCTGAAATAATTCTAGGCATTCTTGATCTACCTCAACAATTTTTGGTAATTATTTACAAGTGACGTCCACCCTATTTTTTTTTTAACTCGTAGTCGTTACACTTCTTAAAAATAACGTAGTGGTCATACTGGGTCTAGTTGACCCCATGCACGGAAAAAAATGTTGCTACTTGCGTTCTTTTCAATATTTTCACCCGTACATGAGAGTAATTCTTAACACTTCCGTTGAATAACTCAATCGTTTTTTAATTTTTTTTAAATTGTTTAATTATAAAAAAAAAAAAATGCGAGTCAAATTTCGAAAAACTTGATTTTTTTTACTAAAAACTTGATTTTTTAAGATAAATGAAAATGACCTCCGGGGTTCTACTCCGGATATCGCATACTTGAAAAAAATGTGGTATGTCGAGCTTTTCAAAAAGTATATTTATTTGCGCAATTGAAATCGTAAATTTCCATGAATCTCAAAAAATCGTCAAACAATAATAAAAGGTACCACAGATACTATTTTGAATGATATCTTCGAAGCAAGAGCAACTCAAAAATTGCCTCGGGTCATCTAGACCTATAATGACCACTACGGGTTAAGTTGTTTATTTTTTTATGCATTTAAAAAAAAAAAAAATTAATAAAATCAAATAGAAATTTCGTTCAAAAAAATTAAAATTAAAATAATGGACCCCACTTGTAAATAATTACCCAATTTTTTTAAAAAAGTCAACAAGCTCCAGAACATCTTAAAAAAAATGGACCAGTGTCTTAAGTACTGATTGTTCGGCTGAGTAAGATAAAATTCAACAGAAAAAAAAATCACCATCTTGGATGAATAGGATGGAAGGTCCATTGATTATAAGTATTCTCATAATCACAAGGCATGAGAGAAAGATGGTTAGTCTGAGGATGCAGCGCGATGCACTTCTTGTGAACCTTATGCAAAAGACTTTTGGTCTTCTCATCATACTCCCAGGGTCCATCAACAGTGCCAAGCCTGCAGAAGGAGAGTTTGATTCCTTGATTATCAGCTTCTACGCACCTCTCTCCCACGCCCATTTGCCCCTGAGAGTTCAGCCTGATGAGCTGATTATTCCCAAAGCCATGACAGTGAGAAGTGGCCATCAAGCTGGGCGGACTGTGGCCCATAGTGTCCAAGCAGGCGGTGGTGGCAACATTCCGGAGCTCTCCCCAGTGAATATTCGGCGGAAGCTCCGGGAACTTGTCCAGAACATCGTAGGCAATATTGTCCATGTACCACTGGAAGCTCTTGCACTTCTTCCTCTCTTTAAATTTAAGCTGCTCTGTAATGTCTCCATGGTCCAGGAGTCTCGCGAGAGGTTCGCGAGTGTAGAAGAACTCCTTGTACTTTTCATCAAACCAGGTCTCGATGACCCGCTTGTAGTTTATCGTAATGAGCGGGCCTTTCTTTTTATCCGCGAGTTTTCCGAAAGAGTAAGGCATGAACCCGCGGTAGACGTGACCCACGTGAGAGCAGGGTACCCAGAGGATGCTGCCACCACACTGCCAGATCTTGAAGGAGAGCTCGAAGTTTTCTCCACCCCAGACTAGGAGACCTTCGTCGTAGCCGCCTAGAGACAGGAAATATTTACGGTTGATCGCAAAGAGTCCTCCAGCGTGGGTCGGAGACCTATAATAAAAAATTACAGTATATTATTTATTTATTTACAAACAACCAAACCCAACAGCCGTAACCATTAACAGGGTTAATAATCTTAACAGAGTAATTATAGTTAGAGAAGAGATCAGACCAGTCAGTTTGGCAGAGCTCAATAATTAATCGTGACTTCAAATTTTTTAAAATTAAATTTATGCGAAGGAATATCATCTTCACTAATTTTATCTGGTTTTTTAACCAAACTAAAGCACAAAAAAAGCAAGATAATATGAGTCAATCGCCTACTAGCGTCCAATCAGATTTCGGTACGTTACAAATTATGTTTGACAAAACTAAATCTAAACAATTACTTTAATAGCTTGTAACGGAATTATACTGGTCAAATTTATGTAAATCATTGAAATTATTTAAATAGGCAGATTTTGCATCAAATAATATATTGTCTTGATGTTTCACACACTGAGAAAAAAAAAGTACTACTCTTGAGAAAATTTTCTTGTCACAAGAATATATTCTTGATAATTTTCAAGAATATATTTTCTTGTCTCAAGAATTGATCGAATTAATTGAATTATTTTTTGTTTAATTCAAGTGAAACTATTCGTTTGTTAATTTGTCAAAATTAATGCAAATATTTTATTATCATGATAGATATTGATATTCTTTTGTCAAAAAAACAAAATTTATTTTAAACGATTCTTGAGCCAAAAAATTTTTTTTGGACAAAAAAATTTTTTTTTTCTCAGTGTATATACTTATTAATATTAAAATCACCGACTACTATGATCTTATGATCTTACTACTACCATGATCTTATAATTAAAGACACTAATTATCTCAGATCTTCATTAGGACTTCCTCAGTAATTACAAATAAACATAAAAATTATATGTAAAAATTTATAGTACAATTACACCTTAATCATACTAGTTCCCAGTTCAAAATATATTATTGTTGAAACATAAATTATTAGGATGCATCTTACAAAAAATTTTTACAAAAATTAACAACTTAAATGGGAACTAGTATGATTAAGGTATGATTGTACTATAAATTTTTTACATATAATTTTTATGTTTATTTGTAGTTGCTGAGAAAGTCCTAATAAAAGGACGAAATGTTCAACTAGAAACAACACATAGTTTGAAATTATTGTCCTGAATTCCTGTGACCAATATTAAGTTATTTACATTTTCTGGACGTGATAAAAATTTTAAAATTAATGAAAATTTTCATCAAGATTTTAAAATTAATGAAAGAACATAATTATGACCGGGACATAAAAATTATAAACATCGTCTAACCTGTAAGGCATGCTGGAGTACTCCCGGCGCTTGCTCTCGCGTCTAGGAAGCTCGTTCTCCTTGTAGAGCATCCCCCACTCGAAGATCCCGCGGTACAGATGGCCTTCCTGGTAGACAGCCCGATACTCGAAGGTCTTGTGGTCGACCCCGTCGATTATCGGGACTGTCATCACGGTCCGGTCAACGGCGATCGGCGCCAGTAGGGGTGGCAGCCAGTTTATGTTCACTTCGCAGTGCGCGTCCAGGAAGACGATCACATCCCCTCGGGCTTCGCGAGCTCCTCGGGACCTAGTCCTGATTAAACCTTGACGCTCCTCGTTTCGGAGCAGACGCACCTTGCCGTTCCACTTGTCGATGTAGGCTTCCAGCTCGCCCTTCAGGTTCTCCTTGTCGGAGTAGTCGTCGACTAGTAGGATTTCTTCGAGGAATTCTGGGGGAGTGCGGTTGATCACGCTGTGCACTGTTCGCATCAATACGGACCAACCCTCGTTGTGGAAGACGATTATCACACTCGTGGACGGAAGCTTCTTCGGATAGTCCCAGTGCTTGCATTCCTCTGGGCGCAAGTCTGGGATTGAACGGTCTAAAGAAATTTCGTCGGAACAGACCATGTTCATTCCGTAGTCGGATTCTGATTGCTGCACGTCGTTCTGCTGGTCGTCACGCAAAACGTGCGGCTTGCCTCCTTCACCTGGACCGCTTCGCTGCTCCAGGTTTTGAGGCTCGAAGTTTCCTGGACCTTCTACTAGGACTGGGACCTGGAAAAGTATTTTTGTTACTGAAGAAAAATTTTTTAAGATTTTGGGTTTTATTTTGAATTTGTCTGGATGATTAATTAATAATTATTTTTAAAAAAATTTATTTAATTCAAAAATATTGCATTTATAATTTTTGAGAGCTTCTAAATAAAGAATTTTTTTAAATGAATTTTTCTTGCTATAATCTATATTATTAAGAGAATAAGAAAAATTCTGTGTCCATGTCATATAATAAAATCGGTTTTTTTAATGAAATTTAGTGTCATTGCAAAGGTCTTGATTTGAATTTGTGTCTTTTCAAGATTTTATATCATTCTCACCAATAGTCAATTTATGATAGTAAGTATTTAGGCTACATTCAAAAATGCTCTATCTCTAGAAAGATTATTGAAAAATGACCTTGTATCTTGGGAACCATTGACATTTTAAAATATATAAGCTCATCCCAATGTTACACTCATCGAGACCTTTCATTTGCGTACCCACATCAATTTTTCATATATTTTATATATGTATATATGAAAAATATATAAAAATGCATGTGGGTACTCAAATGAAAGGTCTTGATGAGTGTAACATCAGGATGAGTTTACATCTTTAAAAATATCAAAATTTCCGACTGTATACATCACACTTTAAGAAATAATTTCCTAGATTTTAGACTTTACTACCATCATCTCTAATTAAGTATTTACTACAGTAAAAAGCGATAATGACTAACTTACAAATGTACTTACAGGAATACTTTCATTTGAGTACCCACATGCGTTTTTGATATATTTTTCATATATACATATATGTAATATATATAAATAATATAAAAATGCATGTGGGTACTCAAATGAAAGGTCTTGATGAGTGTAACATCAGGATGAGTTTACATCTTTAAAAATATCAATAATAAAGAAATGACCTTTTATTAAATATGAAATATTGACATTTTTTAAGATATAAGCTTATCCTGACATTACACTCATCGAGGCCTTTTATTTGAGTACCCACATCAATTTTTCATATATTTTATATATATATATATATATATATATATATGAAAAATATATAAAAAATGCATGTGGGTACTCAAATGAAAGCTCTTGATGAGTATATCATCGGGATGAGATTATATCTTTAAAAACGTCGATATTTAAGAAACTACAGTGCAATTTAACAAAAATCATCATTTAATAAAGCAAAATTTTATTTATTTATACTTCACAACTCACAGCAGTCACATAGTGACTGCAAGGTTGCTAGTTCATTCGTTAAAAAAATTATCATATGTTTCTCAATATCTGTATCATAAATTTTAGCTGTTTGTAATATAATTTTTTTAAGATAAAAAGATAAATTTTAAAGCAAAAATTGTTATATGCAAAAATATTTAGTGAAAAATAATATTCTCGACTGCAATTGAGTAATTTTATTTTGTCTATGTTTCATCATGGAAAATATTTTTTTAGTAATTTTTTTTAATCTTATCTGTAGTGATAAAAATAATATCTAAGAATTATATGCTTCAATTCTAATAAAAAGAGATTTGATAATTTTTTTACAAATAAATTTTTAAAAACTATGCAGTTTTTTATAAGTAAAAAAAAACTTTCAGGTGTATGTTAATTTCATAAAATATTATTTTAATTTAAATTTTTAGTTAAAAATAATAAAACAATTAATCAACAATGCACAACAAATTGAAGAAATGAATTATTTCAATTTTAATTTACTCATTCAGCAACTCGTTAAATTCGCTGACAGAAAAAAAAAATAAATTAATTGCTTACTCACATTGAGACTTCTACCATAATCATCATTCATAATAGAATAAGTAGCATAAAACATCAGCAGTCCCAATATAACAACAGTAATAAGCCTGGCATTTCTCCTGAGCTGTATGACCCTCATCTTCAGAGTTGACTGACAATAAAATTAATTACCAAGCAATTAAAGGCTCCCAATGCGACCTGTCAAATCAAAAACAATTTATTTATTTAAATTAAGTTTTCAATATTAAATTTTTATTAATAATAATAATGAATAATTATAATAAATAATTTACCTTCACTCCATTTTTACATTTAATTAAGTACCTTAATTAAAACTGGTCCAACTTTTTGGAATAAACAATAACCGGTATTTATTATCAGTGTTTATGTATTAAAATATTTATTTAAACATATACTTATACATAAACGTCAAAGTAAATTTATAAAAATATCAGATTTGTCAACGTGTCGATATTTCACTACCGCTCTCTTTTCAGGTCATCTGACTTCTGGCTGTAATATAAAATACATACAATTAATATGAGTTTATATAAAGGTGTGTGTATTTAACTTACTATAGTTGTATCAATTTATATCCAGGTATAATTACGTACCTTGTATGTGTGTATTTTATGATAGCGAAGTTAGTAGCCATTTATAAATTTTTTATAATAATGAAGTTAGCCGATGATACTAAAGTTAGCCGACATTTTTAATTTTTTTTAATAATTAAATTAGAACAAAAAAAATATTTTTAAAAAATTGCACTTACAGTTTTTAAAGTTTTTTACAAATGAAAATTTTTTTCTTTTTCTTTTGTAGTCAATTTTTTTAATAAAAAAATTTTTAAGTGCCGGCTAACTTATAATTTTCATAGTTAGCCGACATTTTCAGGTTTTTGAATTTTTTTCAATAATAAAATTAGAACAAAAAAAAATTTTTTAAAAATTTCACTTACAGTTTTTCAAGTTTTTTACAAATGACATTTTTTTATATTAATTTTTTCAATAAAAAAAAATTCTTAAAATTTTCAGATGTCGGCTAACTTTATTGTCATAATTTTTTATATTTTTTTCATTAATTAAATTAGAACTAAAAAAATATTGTAAAAAATTCCACGCATTATTTTTTAAATTTTCTACATGTGGAATTTTTTTTAAATTTTTATGATGTGTTAAAAATTTATTGTTGTAATTTTTTAAAAAATGTTTTTTTAGTAATAATTTATTTGTAATAAAATTCAAAAAAATGACAGCTGTCAGCTAACTTCAGTTTGATGTTGATAAATTGAAACTATCTATAGAATCTGACAGCCAACTTCACAGCAGTTATAAACTGTCAAGCGCGCATAGCTTCAGGTCATAGAAAAAAAAAATTAAATCCAAAGTAAAGCTGAGAAAAAGCCGAAGCTGGGTCTCTATTTTATTGCTATCAAGAGGCAGGGGCACTTGTGTCGAATTCTGTATTTATAAACAATTTACTCGGTATATTTACATTTATTTATATTTTTTAGCGATATTATTTAGTATATAATCCCCCTATCAACAATTACAGTCAGCTACACTTGCCGCAGCAACTATAATTTATATTAATGGGACGTGTGTGTTTTGTTGGTTATGTTTGTCGTTTGAAATTTTTATTTAGTTAATATTTAATCGGTAAGTTAATTAATTTATTTTTTTTTATGTTTATTTTATTGTCGGTTTTAATTATTGACAAGCGGCTTTTTTTACAGATTTTTTGGACTCCAAACCTCGAAGATGGTGCGCTCCTGTTCACTGAGAAATTGTAATAATTCAGTGAGACAAAAGTACCGATTTTTTTTATTACCATCAGTTAAAAAAGTTGCTAAAAGAGCTGCGTGGTTACAACAATGTGATTATTTATTAACAGAACCACTTCCTACTAGTGGTAATTCAATATCTCTCTGTGAAGTAAGTTGATTTGCGGTTTTTATTATAATTTTCATTAATAATTAATAATTATTTCGTGACGATACATTTATATTATAGACAACTGATGCTTCTTTCAAAGTAATCACAACCTATATTTCATTTCATATGTATATATACTGTGTACTGTTATATATATGCGTATTTGAAAATAAGTTTATGGTTATATTCATTCAGAAAGTTTTTTTTCTTATTTAAATAAGTATATTTAATTAAATTTATATGCCGGTAGATTTTTTCAATTTTGAGTTAATTTTTTTTATCAGTACTTCAAAGTTATTTTTTTTATTCGGTGTGTGTTAAAGTTAATTATATTCAAGTGGATTCTAAAGTCACATGTCTCAGATTTTTTTTTCTGGTTAATTTGAAAATTGTATTTATTTAAAATTTTAGAATTATTTTATAAAAGATTTAAGCATTAGTTTTTTTTTTTTATTGAATATTGATTAAAATTAATTTAGCAGATATTTGATAATTTTTGCAACTAATAAATTATGACAAAAAAATTTTTAAATTGACATTTTTAAATTAAAAAAAAAATTAATAATTTTTCGGTATAAATTTGTTTTTTAAATAGTTAAACTTCAATTTTGTTTTATTGAATATTGATAAAAATTAATTTAACAGATATTTGATAATTTTTGTAACAATCCAAGCGTCACATAAAAAACTGTTGACTTTTTGGTAAATTTTATTAAACAAGAAGTCAAAAATTAATAATTGTCAATTTAAATTCAACAAAATATTACTAAAAAAAATTTTCGTGCCGTTTAGGAAATAAATTATGACAAAAAAACATTTTAAAAATTGACATTTTTAAATTAAAAATAATTTTTCGGAATAAATTTTTTTTTTTAAATAATTAAACTTCAATTTTGTTTTATTAAATATTGATAAAAAATTAATTTAGCAGATATTTTATAAGTTTTCTAACAAATAAATTATGACAAAAAAAAAAATTGATTCCTTGAAAATAAGAAAAATAAAAAATCCAATTTTTTAAAAATAATTTTTTGTAATAAATTTGTTTGCAAAATAAATTGAAAAAATAGTTTGCTAACTTAAATTTGATTAAAGATCAATTTATAGAACTTTATAAATTAATTGACATTTAAGTTTTAATCTTATATCTATAGTGTTTTATTTGCATAACTTTACAAAGTTTTATACAAGGGTTTTTTTTTTTTTTTTTTTTTCCCCCCGATATAAATATTAGATATTAAGCATTAACTTTTAAATAGGTAATAGTTACATAATACTAAAGTTGGTCGACGTTTCAAATTTTTTAATTTTTTTTGATTTATTGAATTATAACAAGAAAATATTTTTTAAAAATTATACTTATAGTTTTCCAAGTTTTTCACAAATGAAATTTATTTTTTTACAATAATTTTTTCAATAAAAAAAAAATTATAAAAAGTTTTAGATGCCGGTTAACTTAATTTTCAAAATAATTACTAATTATTTCCAACATTTTTTAACTAGTACAAACATTTAGAAATATTATTTGTGGATAACAAGTTTAAGTTTTAATCTTTCAAATTTTAATTATATATAAGGTAAAAGACCCAGTTATTGACTCTGGCCTAGTTGATTGACACTTGCAATTTAATTCTCATTAAACAAATAAAATATTCTCAATAAACCAATTATCATAAAATTCATAATTAAAAAATTATATTTATTAATTTATTAAAGTCGAATTGTTTTATTTAATTAGAATAAAATTGCAAGTGTCAATAACTAGGCCAGTGTCAATAACTGGGTCTTTTACCTTAATGATGCACTGAAAAATATCTAAAATATTTTTTAATAAAATTACAGGGTCATTTTGAACCAGACCAATTTGTAGAATACGGACCAAGCGTCCGTACAATTTTAAAACCAACTGCAATACCAACAATTTTCACCAAAAACCCTCCACGAGTGAGCGACGCAGTGGAATTGTGGTACGAGCGTGAATACAAGCACAACAACACACTGTCATTATTGAATGACCTGACAGACGATTCTATAATCTACAACAATGACAACCAGGACAACGAGGTTGAACTCCTGGAGGAGCTGAACGACGACAACGGGTTCGAGTATGTAGACGTGGAAGACACTCCGCCTAAGCGAGTGAAATTGATACGCATCCAGAGGAACAAAATGCAGATCGCGACGCCGCAGGGTATTAAAATAATTTCGGCTTCATGCAAGACGCAGCTGAACAACATCAATATGGCAGAGCACACCCAGGTCGAGCACTTCGAGGAGGGTCTTTCGCCGCCCTCGAGCAACGACATGGAGAACGTCGACGACAACTCGAGCTCCTTTGTCACAATGAGCGGCAAGAGATACTGCTTGGACGTCGACAACAAGCAAGTGGCGTTCAAAGTTTCCGGGGATGGATCTCTGGGTCTGGAGTCGCTCGAGTCCGAGCACGACCAGGCTGAGTATGACCATCACCCGGAGAATTACAACCAAGATCCAGGAAATTACAATTATATCGAGAGCGGTAATTCTAATTTTAATTCTAATTATAATTATAATTGCTATTCCAACAAGAGGAAGGTTGTAAATTCGACGTTTAAAAAACAACACAAGTATGAAATTACTCCGGTGTTTATCAAAAAGGAGATTGTTGACGATGAAATTGACGACAAGTCCAGGCTCAGAGATATTATGCACTTCAATATCTCGCAAACTGACAGTATAGAGTCTAATGAGGCGCATGAAGAGTCTGCTAATGAGGCCTTTGATCCAGTTTTGTTGAAGAATTTAAAAACTTCTGATCATTTTGATAATGATAATGACAATGACAATGATAATAGGAATTATATCATTAACGATGATGATCAATTGCATGATGATCAATCTCAAGACTTGGATAATGATATTGATTATTCTCAGCTGATAATGAGTGCTTCTGATTTACAGAAGAGAGTCAATGAGCTGGAAATTGAAAAAGATAGTATTATTAAAAAGGTAATTTTTTTTAGTAAATTATTATTTTTATTTATGAATTTTATAGTTATATACAATTTTATTTTTTAATGATACTAAAGTTAGCTGGATATTTTTTTAATTTTTATAACAAAATTACAATAACAAAAATTTCCACAATAATCTATATTATTAAGAGAATAAGCAAAATTTTGTGGTTAGTGTATTTATATGATAAAATGAGTTTTTATGGTTGAATTTAGTATCGATAAGTATTTAGGCTGCAGTCGAAAATGCTTTATCTCTAGATACATAATTAAGAAATGACCCTATATCTCGTGAACTATTGATATTTTTAAAAATATAAGCTCATCACTATATTACACTCATCGAGACCTTTCATTTGAGTACCCACATCAATTTTTCATATATTTGTATATATTATATACAGTCGAACCTGGATAAGCGAGAACTGGATAAATGAGAAAACTCTATAAGTGAGATTAATAGCCAGGACCCGTCATTTTAAGCTCCCAAAACCTCTATTAGCGAGAAACAGAAGGACCTCTGTAAGAGAGAGTCGTTTTTCTCTCATGGACCTCCGTAAGTGAGACTGCTGCTTAACTATACCTCTATAAGCGACATTCGAGCTTTATTTCTTTATATTATTTAGGAGGAACTACAGCTACAATAAAAATACATACATACATAAAAAATACACACATACACACATCCAATGAAGCTAGCTTTAAATGTAAATAAGCTAGCTTTAAGTGTAAATAAGTTCTAAATAAAATAAAATTATATAGTGCATGAATTTTTGTTTTGTTTTCGTAAGCATCTTGATACCTACTCTTTTAAAGTACTTATATGTCGAATGTGACTTGTTATTGCTGCGTACCTCTATAAGAGAGAAACGCTACCCATATACCTGCATTAGCGAGAAACTCGGGTTAGTGAGAAACCTCTATAAGCGAGAATGAAATTGTACTCCCTTGAACTCTCGCTTATCCAGGTTCGGCTGTATATGTATATATGAAAAATATATCAAAATGCATGTGGGTACTCAAATGAAAGCTCGTGATGAGTGTAACATCGAAATGAGCTTATATCTTTAAAAATATCAACAATTAAGAAATGACCTTGTATCTTGTGAACTATTGACATTTTTAAAGATATAAGCTCATCCTGACATTACACTCATCGAGACCTTTCATTTGAGTACCCACATCAATTTTTCATATATTTTATATATATTATATTATATATAATATAATGATAAATATATCAAAATGCATGTGGGTACTCAAATAACAGCTCTTGATGAGTGTAACGTCAGGACGAGCTTATATCTTTAAAAACGTCTATAGTTGAGAACGTACAGTGCAATTTAACAAAAGTCATTATTAAATAAAGCAAAATTTTACTTATTTCTAGTACAAGTCATGGCAGACACATAGTGACTGCAAGGTTGTTAGTTTTTTTTAATTTTCACATGTTACATTAAAAAAAATTTTTTTCTACAATAATTTTATTATTGTCTGTCAACTTTAACATCATATTTTTTTTTAACAAACAAATTATTATAAAAAAAATTCACTTGTTTAAATGAATGCAATTTTTTAAAAATAATTTATTTGTTAAAAAATTTAATTTGATTTAATTATTATTAATATTTATTAAAGTCTGTAAAATTAAATATTAAAAATATTATTTTATATTTTTCAGTACCGACGATTAGAATTAAAAATGGAAACATTTCAAAACAACCTCCGAACATTTTTAAACGAGGACCAAATAAAACTCCTACAGTCTCAATCTCCCTCAATGAACACGACATCCTGGTCAGCAGAAACGCTGAAAAAGAGCGCTAAGGTCCGTTGCATTGTCGGTCCACGAGCTTACGAGTACTTACGTTCACAAGAGCACTACCCACTGCCGTCATTCCGAACTCTGTACCGTCACCGTGAAATTTCACGAATAAACGACTACACCGACGAAATGATCCAGGAGCACATGAACGCGACGATAAATCGGGTCGCGATGGTTGCTGAGGAGTCCGAGGTTTCCGACGCTGACGAAGAAATCGACGGTGAAGAAGATTCGGAAATCCTGGACGTCGCTCGCATCAAACAAAAAGTCGCTGCTCAAAGGCCCGAACCTGAAACAGAAATTGAACAAGAGGTGTTAGTTGAAAATAATTCCGAGCCCGAGCATATTGATTTCGATGCGCTAGATCCCGAAATTGAGGAAGATGAAGAAGAACAGGAGCAAGAAGAAATCGATGAAATCGAATACGAGCCAAGTACAAGAAATATAGTTCAAGATATCTTAATGAATATTGATAATGATATATTACTGCCATACGAGGATATTGCGGCCATCGACGAGGTTCGGTACGTTCCGGAAAAAACATCCACGTGAAGACTGTTTTTTCAAATGAAAATACAGTTTAAAATTAAAATAGTTGTAAATATAAGTTACTAATAGGTGGATTAGTTATTAAGTTAAAAGGTTGAATGTATTTTATATAATAGTTGTGTAAAATAATTAGTGCTATTTTTTTATTTATAATTTCTAAAAAAATGCCGGGTATTTAATTCATTTTAAGTACCATAATTATATTATTAATAAATAAAATTATTTGATAATAAAATTATTATTATTATTATTATTATTATTATTATTATTATTATTTAGGACGGATATTATTAATAATTGCATGACACTGAAATTAAGAAATATTGAAATTTTTTTTATAATTTTATGGCAAATAAATAGAGATAAAAAAAATTGACAATTGTCAACTTCAGTATCATAAAAATGATCATAAATCTCTTAATTTAATTATATTGATAATTGAAATTAAGAAAAAATTTTAATTATTAAATTACAAAAGAAGAAAAATTTTTTAGAATTTTCCTGCAATGAAATAATAATAAAAAAAAAAAATTAATGAAAAATTCCACATATGAAAATTAAAAAAAAAAAAATTTATTAAAATTGTATTGTTATAAAAATTAAAAAAGTTGACAGTTGTTACCTTTTTCAGTATCATAATAATAGCTCATAATTTAAACAAGGAACAAAATTCCAAACAGAGCAACTAATTTAGCAGCACAAATAAATTTTGTTGTTTGAAAAATGAATCAATGGAAGACGGAAGAGTCTATGGTAGCTTGATAGACCTAAAAAAAGTAAATAAACTATGAGAACTTATGTAGTTGAGTTGTCTGAGCACACACACTAACTGTCTTTAGTTTCTTCTAGTACTGAAGAAAACTTTGAATTTAAAAATATAAAAACCTGCGTAAAAGTTATTAGTTTGTAGAACTTTAAAGATAATTGCTTTAAAAAGTAAAAGTTTTATGAAAATTGAAGATAATTGTTCTGCAATTGAAGTAATGAATGGTATAGCTGACATATATACCCTGTCCTATAGATAAAAACTTTACTTCGGAGACAGACGGGAGCGTTTTTTGCCATTCAAATCTGAAATTTAAAACAGAGAAGACATGGAAAGTGTAAGTGAGGCGACAGTTGGATTTGTTTTAAAAGTAACAGTTTATAAATGTTTCGCAGGATCGGAAAAAGTTGCAAGAGGGGTTGAAAATATTTACGTGGACTAAAACAATAACCAGGTTGATAGGTCTGTGGCCGCTAATTCCAAATTACTATATATTTGACGTGTGTATAATTTATTTAACTGTTATGATGGTCTTACAATCTACATACCTTTACAAGTCTCTTAAAGATGTTGAAAAATTAATTGATATTATGACGGAAAATATCGCGTTTTTTTATATTTACATGTCGGCAGTGATGCTGAGAGTGAATAATAAGCAGCTTGGCCGGGTAATAGTTCAAGCAGTCACAGATTACAACATAAGTGCTTTCAGAGATTCTGATGAAGTTGATGTATTTATACAGTTTATCAATAGAGCTCGAATTATGATGAAAGGATTAATTATTTACTATACAGCGGGTGAAATCCTTTGGTACTTTATACCAATAATGTCTTTATGTAAGTACACTTGTGATACTGAACTCAGCTGACATACCTTACAATTTTTTATTATAATTTAATCAGAAATTTTTTTAGAATTTTATAAAAAAAAAAAAAAAACAATAATAGAAAAATTCAAAATGAAATAAAAAAAAAGTTATTAGTACTAATATTTACTTAAATATTTTTAGAAAAATTTTTTTTATCAAAATTGATGTGCTGAAGTTAGTTGACATACCTATAAGGTTTTTTTAGGATTTTTTTTCAAAAAATAAATTATTATAAAAATAAATTTGTAAAAATTTTTTTCTTTGTAGTAATTTATTTGTTGTAAAAATCACAAAAATTACATGTAGCATGACATTAAAGTCCACCTGTTACTTGATAATTTTTTTATTTTTTTTAATAAATAAATTTACTCTGAAAAATTATTTTTAAAAAATTGCATTTATAATTTTTTAACATTTCTTCATGTCAATTTTTTTGCCATAATTTATTTGTTTAAAATTCTCCAAAGAGCTCAGAAAACTCCATTGAATATCGTAAACCGCGAGAAAATCGGTTAATTCATTTAAAAGTTATTGCAGTTTGAAAATTCATAACTTCTATCAGGTTCGAAGAGCTCAAAATAACACAAAAATTATATTTTTGAGCTCTTCGAACTTAAAAACAAAATACGTAAAATGTTGAGCATTTAGGTATGGAGTTAGCGGGAATTGCAGAGATGACATTTAGGGTCAACCGTTTTTCTAATTTTTTTATAATAATTTAATTGCTATAAAATTCTAAAAAAATTTGTAATGTCTGTCAACTTCAGTGTCATCATAAGTTAATTTGTTATAGAAATTAAAAAAATTGACAGCTGTCGGCTAACTTGAGTATCATTAATTTAATTTTATAAAAAAAATTTTAGTTAATAAATTCTACATACAGAAATTATTAATGTAGAGTAGAAGTACCGTTTTTGCCCAGTTAACATTTGAATTAATTTATAAAAAATTATAATATTATAATGATATTTTTGTTAAAAAATGTAAATTAAAACAAATTGAGTTTGTAATAGATAGATAGATAGATAACTTTATTTATGTCAAAGCCAAACTGACTAATTGGCAAACATATTTACATCGTATATATAACAATTTTTTACATAAAAATAGTATAAACATTAGGGTGACAAATTTTGGGCGTAAAGGATTTATTTGATTTTTATAGAATTTTTAATCAAGAGTTTCGTTCGGCCATTTTTGCTGGAATTTAAAAATTTCAAAATTCAGCCGAACAAAACTCTTGTTAAAAAATTCTATAAAAATCAAATAAATCCTTTACGCTCAAAATATGACAGGAAATGCCCAAACACAACTCCTGTTAAAAGCGGAACTCAAAATTCCAATTTTAAAAGGTCCATCAAGGAAATTACATTTTAGCACACCCTAATAAACATAATATAAGGATTTAATCATATTTATGGTTTAATATATATAAAATCTGAAGATTTAACCACTTAACATTTTGATCTGAATTAAACTAAAACTACTTATTTTATGACTTAATTATCTAAATTAAACAAATAATCAAACATCTTGTTCTTGAAGACTTCGATACTAGACGCTCTTATTATGTTCACTGGTAATTCTTCCCAGAGACGAATGCAAGTGACAATAAAAGAGGATTCATAATAAGTGGTCGAAAAATTTCTCTTCACTGCAAATCTTTCTGAACGTCTAGTATCAAAATCCTCAAGAAATTAAATAATTCACGCAGATAGCCTGGTTTGCCCGTATCTAGTAATTTATAAAAATAACAAGCAAGTTAATAATAGTCTATTATTATAACTTAATTTCTATCGTTTATTTGAACAATAAAGGGCCATAAACGGTACTTCTACTCGTTAATCTTAAAAATATTTTTTTTTCTTTTCAGCGGATAATATGATGGACGACAATAATAAAACAATGTTTGTTCTGCCGTATGAAATTTGGCTGTTTTATGAAATAGATTCTACAACAAGTTATTTTTTCACTTACTTATTTCTTCTGCCGGCACCTGTAATTGGTGTGCTGGTCAATATAGCGACAGATTGCTGCCTTATTTTCCTGGTGTTCTACATTAGTGGAAAAATGGCAGTACTAACAATGAGGATCGAAGCGCTTAAAAGTACTCAGGATAACTGCAGAAACGAACTCGGAAAAATAATTGCTGAGCATGGAAAATTATTAGGGTGAATATTTATTATTGAAATTTGAATTTTATATTTTTTTTTTATTCTAAATACTTGTAATATTTGTTTAAGAATGGGCGATGAGATTAGAGACGCGTATAGTGTTATTTTACTGGTTTATTTCCTAGTTTCAAATTTTATATTATGCATTCTTGGCTATCAAATATTAATAGTAAGGACATTTATATTTTTTGGTAGTTAAATTTTATTAATGTCCAACAAAATTCAACAGGGTTTCATGAATAATCAATTGTTTGAAGTGGTACAATATATGTTATATTTCATTGAAATGTACTTTATGTTGGCTCTTTATTGTATGATAAGTGAGCACCTTACTTCTGAGGTAATTTATACATTGCATAAATTTAAGAATAATAATAATTAAATTTTTTTTTTAATTATTTACGTAGAGCCTGAAATGCGGGGAAGCATTTTACCAATGTCCTTGGTACAATTTCCCTCTAGATTGCAGCAAAAATATTATCCTCAGTATTGCAAGGTCTCAAAAACCTTTGGGACTACAAGCTGGTAAATTTACGACTTTCAGCAGCGTTACATTAACGGATGTTAGTTCATAATATAACTATTTTTATTGCTTAAATGGTTTTATTAAAATAAAATAAAAATTATTTTTGACAGGTGTCAAAAACAGCTGCCGGGTATTTATCAGTTCTTCGGAACTTTTTGATTGTTGATGAGTAAATCAGTTTTTTTAGTGCTTCTTTAAAAAATTGTTACCTACATATTAAATATATATATTAAATTGTTGATATTTAATGTTTGGTTTTAAATATTTATTAATAAAACGCACTGATGAAATTTTAAAAATTATAAACTAAAAATTGAAGTTAGAACCAGATAAGTATAAGTGAAGAAAAAAATTTTTCATAAATATATTTCTTCTCACTTATTTTTTTGTAGTTCTTATAAATTTATTTATTTAATTATTTATTCTGAACATGAATTTATACCTTGACAAACATAAAATTTATTTATTGTCCGAAAATAAAGAAGAAATAAGAAAATTTTTCAGGGTAAAAAATTTTGATAAAATTTAAGAATACATCATAAACTTTTGAACGTAAAATTAAAATTTGAAAAGAAGAAAAAATTCAATGACTTGAAAAATCAAAACAATTTTTATTTAAAGTTCAAGGTAAGCATATATAAGCAATAGACTCTTGTTTTACTTTTAGAAGAATACTTGAAGAACGATGTGCAGCTTTTAAACTTGAAATGAAGACCACTCTGGTAAGTTTTTTTTCACTAGTGTGTGAAGAAGAATTTTGATGAAAAATAATTAGTCCTATTTTTTTTATCTGTAATTTATAAAAAAATTTCTGGGTATTTAATAAATTTAATGGAAATAAAATTAGCAGACATTTGACAATTTTTAAGTTTCTTCTTATTAAAAAAATTCCAAAAAAATAAAAAGAAAAATTCCACATTGAAAAGATTTTAAAAACTATTAATTTAAGAATTACAATATATTATTAATTAATAAAATTATGTTATGTAATTTATTTATTTATTAAATCAAACATTACACACACCACCAACAGCCAAGAGTCAATATTTAAACATTAATCTGCTAGTACCAAAACATTACCAAGATCCATCGACGGATAGACTTTAATTGGCTCTGATCCTTTTTTGAGTCTAACACAAACACAAGAAATGAAAATGAAACTAAAGTTAGTCGACGTTTATAATTTTTTTTAATTAATCCATTGGAACAAAAAAATATTTATTAAAAATTGCACTTAAAGTTTTACAATTTTTTAACAAGTGAATTTTTTTTTGTATAAAAATTTTCAATAAAAATAATTGTAAAAATTTTTAGATGTCGGTTAATTTAATTTTCATTTTATTTAAAAATTTTTATAATTTTTTTCATTGAAAAAATTATTACAAAAAACTTGAAAAACTTTGTGCAATTTAAAAAAAATATTTTGTTCCAATTTAATAAATGAAAAAAATATAAATATCGGCTATCAGTATTAAACACAAAAACATGAATATAAAGTTAGCCGATATTTAAAAAATTTTATGATTTTTTTTATTGAAGAATTATTAGAAAAAAAATAGTATTTTATAATTATAATTTAAAAAATTAAGTAAAATTAAAAAATCAAAAATGTCGTCTAACTTTATTATTATCACAAAAACTAGTAATCTAGACATTTTCTTAATAATAGATGAAGACTTTTTCACAGATATCTCCAGTTGACATAAACCATAAACCAGTACCATATCCAGATGAGAATAAAAAATATTCTCCGAATCTTCCGCTTAGCAAAAATAAAATTCTGTACTCATATTATTATTTTGGTCTTATAAAAAAAGTGAGTATGTTAAAAGAACTTACATGACTGAGTTATCGGAGCACATATGTACACTGTCTGTAGTTTGTTTCAATACTGAGGAGGACTTTAAATTTAAAAATATGAAACCCTGTGAAAAAGTTTGCAGTCTGTAGACCATGAAGATAATCGTTTTAAAAAAAAAGTTTTATAAAAGTTTTACGGTGCGACAATTAAAGTATAGCCGATCTATACCCTGTCCCATAGGGAAAAACTTTACCTCGGAGATAGACAGGAGTTTTTTCCATCATTTGTACTTTAAATTTAAAACGGAGAAGACATGGAAAGTGTAAGTGAAGCGACAGTTGTATTTGTTTTAAAAGTAATAATTTATAAATGTTTCGTAGGACTGGGAAAGGTTGCAAGAGGGATTCAGGTTACTGAAGTGGACGGAAAATATAGCGAGGATTTTAGGTGTATGGCCTCCAGATCCAACCTACTATTTATTTAACACGCTTCTCATGTATGTACATTTCATAATGTTCCTACAACTTATGTATCTTTACAAGTCTCTTCACGACTTGGATCAATTTCTTAATGTCATGTCGGAGTATACCGTGTTCGTTTATATTTACACATCTATTTTGATGCTGAGAGTGAACAATTGTCAACTTGGTCAATTATTGACTCAAATTCTTGAAGATTACAAAATAAGTGCGTTCAATGATTCTCATGAAATTGATATCTTCATGCAGTTTATCAATAGAGCTCGAATTTTAATGAAAGGATTAATTTTTTACGCTTCTATGACTGAATTCCTTTGGTACCTTAAACCATTGATTACATTATGTAAGTTATATTTATGATACTGAAATCAATAGACATTTTACAATTTTATAACAACTGAATTATTGTGAAAAAAATTTCGTAAAAAAATTTTATATGCAGATATTTATAAAAATTATGAGTGCAAATTTAAAAAAATATTTTTTTTTATCATAATTTTTTATAAACTATCAGTTATATTCTATCATATTAGTGATTATCAATTATCAATTACTAAAAATTTTTTTTTTCTTGTTTTGTTTTTCTCTTCTTTCAAATTAAAAAAAATAAATTTTTTTTTTTATTTCTTAAATTTTTTAAACCTATTTTCTCTTTACAGATGCTATTTATTGTATAAAATTATTACTAAACATTTTACACATGAAAATGTAACATATTGTTGTAAATTGCCAAGAGCGTTTCTTTACAAATAATTGATTTGTTATAAAAATTTTAAAAACTGTCACAAGTCTGCTTCGTGCATTTATGACAGGAAGTTAGCAGACATCTGTCAATTTTTTGGGTTTTTATAACTCAATTATATTGAAAAAATTTTAATTACAAGTTCCATATTTAAAAATTCAAAAAAATTACAAGTGCTAATTTTAAAAAAATTTTTTTTTATACTTTTTTCAATAAAAAAAAAAAAAAAAAATGATAACTTTTGTAAATATTAATTTTTCAACTTAATCTAATTGTTAATCTCTTTATCTTACAGGAAGCTATAAAATGTAAATGCCAGCTAAATAAATAGAATTAATTTTTTTTGACTGAAAATTCGCGAAATTTTCGGTCTTTTGAGCAGCGATATAATTTATTTTTAAATAGATCTTTAATACAGCCAATACGATACTGAATTTTCACAGAAAGTATTAATAAAAAATAATTATTTTCTTCTTTGCAGCGGAAAACTTGGTTGATGAAAACAACAAAACAAACTACGCTTTGCCATATGAACTTTGGTGGTTTTATGAAATAGAATCTACAAAAAGTTTTTTTTTTGTATACTTATTTCTTCTGCCAGGGCCTGTCCTTGCTGCGGTCGGTAGTATGTCAGCAGATTGCTTCCTTATTTTCCTGGTGTTCTACATTAGTGGAAGGATGGCGATATTAACGGAAAGAATCGACGCACTTGAAAGTGACAAAGAAAACACCAGAAGCGAACTCACTAAAGTAATTGCTGAGCACAGAAAATTATTAGAGTAAATATTGATTAGTGAAAAAAATATTACTTTTATATTTTTATAATTTCTTTATATTAAATATTTGTAATATTTTTTTAAGAATGGGTGAGGAGGTCACAGACGCTTTTAGAGTTATTTTACTGGTTTATTTCGTAAGCGCAAATTTTATGTTGTGTGTCCTTGGCTATAAACTGCTAATAGTAAGCATATTTATATTTTTTGATAGTTAAATTTTATTAATGTCTAACAAAATTTAACAGAGTTTCATGATTAATGATGTGGTTGAAATAGTACAATATACAATATATTTTATTGAAATGTACACTATGTTAGCTATTTATTGTATGATAAGTGAGCATTTCACTTCTGAGGTAATTTATAAATTGCATAAATTTAAGAATAATAATAATTAAATTTTTCTTTAATTATTAACGCAGAGCCTGAAATGCGGGGAAGCATTTTACCAATGTCCTTGGTATAATTTCCCTTTAGATTGCACCAAAGATATTATCTTCAGTATTGCAAGATCTCAAAGACCTTTGGGACTTCAAGCTGGTAAATTTACGACCTTCAGCAGCGTTACATTAACGGATGTTAGTTCATAATATTACTATTTTTATTGCTTGAATGGTTTTATTAAAATAAAATAAAAATTATTTTTGACAGGTGTCAAAAACAGCCGCGGGGTATTTATCAGTTCTTCGGAACTTTTTGATTCTTGATGAATAAACTAGTCTCTTTAGTGCTTCTTGGAAAAATTGTTACCTGCATATTAAATATATATGACATGTTGATGATATTGATATTCTAGTCTTGAATAGTTACAAATAAAATGCACTGATCAAATCTTAAGAATCATAATCTAAAAATTGAAGTTAGAACCAGAAAAGTATAAGTGACTGAAAATTTTTTACTAGGATATCTTATGTCACTTATTCTTTTGTAATTCTAATAAATTAATTTATTGAATTAATTATTCCACAAAATTAATTAGTACTATAAAAATATTAAAACTTATTTATTGCCGTCAGAAAATATAGGAGTATTAATATAATTTCCTAGCGCAAAAAATGTTGATGAAGATAACGAATACATTATACACTTTTGGAGGAAATATTAAAATTGGGGTTTAATATTTAAATCGGTAAAAAAAATAAGTAATTAAATTACTTATGACCATGTAAAAAGATGCATTTTACAACAAAATATCTATCAGCAATCTGGGCTAACACAGCGAATTTTAATTAAATCAAGGTAAGCACCACTTGTTAAATTACGCCAATAATATTTTACTTAGCCACTGTTGAATAAACTCTGGGCTTACTTATAGAAGAATACTCAAAGAATAATGCGCAGCTGTTAAACATATAAAATTTAGTCTAGACGGGTATTTTTTTTAGAGGTGTGTAAAGAAGAGCTGCTGTCGAAATAAAAGTTTTGCCAAAATAAAAAAATTATGAAGAGTATCTTTAATTATATAGCAGGGTCAAGATCTATACCCTCTTTTGTCTACCTCGGAGTTTGTCACAAGCTTATTTTCATCATTTATGCTTCAACCATCGAGGTAAGGAAACATGGAACGAATAAATTACGGGGTGAGAACGATGAAAAGAGTAAGTGAGAGTATAGCGTTTAGTTTTTTTTAATAAAACGAAAGACTCATAATTGCTCATCAGGATCAAGAAGCATTGAATTACTATTCATTTAGCCTATGTACGTGTTATTATACTTCTTACATGGTGCTAACAATCACAGACATGTATAAATCAGTCAACAATACTGAAAAGTTTATTAATAATATTACGGAGTCTTTGAGAATTGTGATCGTATACGTCCGTATGTTCATGCTTCGCTTCAACATTTCTAGTCTTGGTGAAATATATTCGCAAATATTCAAGGATTACAACGTCAGTGATTTTGAAAATTCTCAAGAAATTGAAGTATTTATGCAGTTTATTAATAAAGGTATATTTTTGGTGCGAGAATTCGCCAGTTTTATGATACACAGAAAGGAAAATTTCTTGACTGGAGAACAAAATTCTTGGCTCAAGAAAATTTTTCTTTAAATTTTATTGTTGGTGGAAGTAATTTTTTCCTAATCCAAATTATCATAAATATTTGATACAATAATTTTTTTTTATTTGATCAAGATTTCCAGATACTTTAGGGAAGGAGTGCCACCTACTTCAGCTGAGAAAAAAATTTTCTCACCTTGAGAAAATTTTTTTCCTTGAATATTTGATACCCATTTTATATTATTTCAAAACAAGAAGATTTTCTTGACTTAAATAAATTTTCTTGGATCAAGATACGTATTTTTTAAAGCAAGATAATTTATTTTGTTGGAATAAGTGAAATTTCTTGTGTGAAAAAAAATTTTTTTTTCACTCAAGAAAATAATTAGAAAGAAAAATATTTTCTTGGCTCAAGTGAACCTTTTTTTCTGTGTAGGAACCGAAGCCGTTCGGTACTTAAGTTCATTAGCAGCAACACGTAAGTATTATCATTAACTTGTATTTATAACAACTCATACGTGTTGATTTCTTCTAATTGCTTTGTAAATTTTATTACAGCTGAGTTCTTCATTAATGATAACAATCGAACAATATTTATCATTCCCTACAAACTTTATTTTTTCCATGAAATAACTAGCTTGACGCGTTATTATTTGACATTCTTATGCATTATGCCTTCGATTTGGGCCTTTGGCTTCGGAAATGTGTCAGTGGATTCCACTTTGATTTCTCTGCTCTTTTATATCATTGGAAAGATGACTGTGTTAATGAGGATTGACACGCTTTAAAACGGTCCTAATTCCAGGAAGAAATTCAATAAAATAATCGCCAAGCACTGTAAATTATTGAAGTAATTATTCCACTTAAAATTGATTAATTTAATAAAAATTTATAAATACCAACAATTTTATTGTTTGAAGAAACAATGATATATCTTCTTGATATATCTAATAAATATCTTCATTAATTGTGTACTAGGCTATCAAATATTAGTAGTAAGTAGTACAACTATTAATCATAAATTTATATTATTTTTCCTTAAAAAAAAAAATCATTGTAATTAACATTAATTAAAAATCCTAACGTAAATAGTGTTACATGACCCGGGAAATATTTTCATATTCATTGTACTTGTTGGGAATTTTATTTCACGGTCAGTATTTTTTAACGGTGAGTAATTTTATATTTTTTTGTACTGTATATTGTACTTAAAGTTTTTCTTCAACTTGTGTTCAATTATCGCCCATAAATTTCGATCAACTTGCATCCAAATGTCGCTTACCGTAAAACTGACTCCAAACTACTGAAGACAAACTAGTGTGGTGCTACACTGGCTATCTGGGTTGCGTTTCAAGAAACAATTATTCTTATAGGTCACAAAAACTGCGATTGTATATTGAGAAATTTTTTAATTAATGAATGATTATAAAATTATTCACCAATAAATTTTTTTCTCAAATTATTATTTATATTTTTTAAATAAATATATAGTAATTATGAGTTATACTATATAAATCATAGTCATAAATCATATAAGTACACTGAAAAAAAAATTAACTTGAATCAAGAGAAAAATTCTTGAACCAAGAAAACAATTTTGAAAAGTTTTATTGTCTTGAATCAAGATAAAAAACTCTCGAATCAAGTAAAATTTATTTAAACCAAAAAAAATTTCTTAGTTTCAGAAATTTCCAACTCAAACCAAGAAGTTTAAATTCTTCAAAATTATTAACTGAAAAAAAAAAAATTAACTTGAATCATGAGAAAAATTCTTGAACCAAGAAAATAATTTTGAAAAGTTTTATTGTCTTGAATCAAGATAAAAAATTCTCGAATTAAGTAAAATTTATTCAAACCAAGAAAAATTTCTTAGTTTCAGAAATTTTCAACTCAAATCAAGAGTCAAAATTCTTCAAAATTATTTACTTGATTCAAGTAAATTTTATTTTCTGTGTATAACTTACAAAAAAATACATTTTGAAACATAAATTAAAAACTCTTTCTTCAAAAATTAATTTAATCTCTATGTGTCAATTCCGGTGTTGATTTATTGAAATATCTAGGCTACAAAATAATTTTACTCAAGTAAAATTATATTTTGTTATAAAATATAAGCACCTGTATTTTTACTTTCACAAAAAAAGTGTACTAAATTATTGAAGAATAAATAGCACGTGCGAAAATTCAATTATTAAATAACTTTGAAAATAATAAGTTAAAACTTTAAACCATGCGAAGAAATAGATTATTTAAACTTGTAGGCAGCCTGATCACGTCAATACTGATTGCAGTTACACTCTGGCTCTCTGGCTCTTTTTTATTTATAGAATTGCACTCCAAGAACACTGTATATAAACTGCGCAAGCTTAAACCAAAAGTTTAAAAAAGTTCTACAGCAGACAATATTCAATATGCAGGGACTGCTTCTCTGCAAATAAAAGTTTGTTTAAAAACAAACAATGAAGTAACTTTTAATTGCACAGTATAGCCAGGGTGTATACCCAGTTTTGTTTACCTCGGAGTTTGTCACGAGCTCTCTCCCATCATTTATACTCCAATCATCAAGGGAAGAAAACATGGAAAGTGTAAGTGAGTCTACAGTCTTTTTACTTCTATAAAATTTATAAACGTTTTATCAATTGTAGGAGCAGAAAAAGTTGGATGGTCTTCAAGCGTTAGCGTGGACTAAAGAAATATCAAGAATTATGAGAGTCTGGCCTCTAGTTCCCAATTATTATTTATTTTATTTTCACGTACTTTGTTTTAGTTATGCAATAATTCTCCAAGTGATAGATCTTTATGAATCAATTAACGACGTGGATAAGCTTATTGATAACTTCACTGAGAATTTAGCTTCAACGATCGTCTACGTGCGAATTGTAATGCTTCGTGTGCATAATTATCAAACTGGAAAATTATTGTCCCAAGTAATTGAAGATTACAATGCCAGTGTTTTTAAAAATTCTTATGAAATCAAAGTGTTTATGAAGTATGTTAATAAGGGTAGATTTATGTTAAAACGTTTGAGTATTTTTATTGTTTCTTCAGAGTTTTTTTATTCCCTCGACCCATTGTTATCTTCATTGTGTAAGTAGTTTTTTTTTTTTTTAAGGACGTTCATGCGTAAAACTTGATAGATATAAATTTATATTTTTTAGTTTTTATAAGTTAACTTAATGATCTTCCTAAAAAAATTGAAAATTCTTTATCGATTATTTAAAGAAGTTATTAACGATTAAAAATTAGATTTTTATCTAATGCAACATTATGGTAGATGAGTATTTTTTTGAATTTAAAATTATAAAATTTTATATTATTAAAGTAGATACCATAATAAATAATGTTTTAAATAATTAACTGATTTATGCAGTTTTTTTAAATGCATTAAAAAGATAGTGTTTAATTAATTATTTATTATTTCACTTGGTATAATGAACGTCCTTAATTGGACACGAATATTATCACATTTTTATTAAAATTAATTTAGCAGATACTTGATAATATTAATAAGATTTTTAACATTTGTTATGGCAAATTCATTTGAATTATGGCAAAAAAAAAAATTGAAAAATTGAAAAATTTTTTTAAATTAAAAATGCAATTTTTTAAAAATAATTTTTCGAAAAAAATTTGTTTGTTAAATAAAATAAAAAAATTGTCAAATGACTGCTAACTTTAATGTCATCACATTTTTTTTTATTTTTTTTTCAGCGGATGGTCACCCAGTTGATGAAAATAATCAAACGGTATTTATCATGCTTTATACCATTTATTGTCTTTGGGAAGTAAACATTTCGACGCGTTATTATTTAACATACTTGCCCCTTGGATTTTTGGCTTTTTACATGGTCTTCGGAGGCTCTACGGTGGATTACATTTTAATATCCCTGGCTTTTTCGATTAAGAACGGAAAATTGACTGTATTGACAGTGAGAATCAACGCGCTTTATGGCGGCCTGGATTGCAGGAAAAAGCTTAATAAAATAATCGCCGAGCACAGTCGATTATTGAAGTAAATTTTAAAATTTTTTACAAAGTATACTTTTTTATTTTTTGTACATAAAAAAATAAATTTGGTAATAATTGTAAAAAATATTACAATATTATGAAAATTTATATTTATTAAACGTCCATAGAGCCAGATTGTTGCTGTACTTAGTAAATATACAGTTTCTAATATGTGTAATTGGCTATCAAGTGTTAATAGTAAGCACAGTTACTAATTTTTTTGGTAAGATGAGTAATTAATATAATTATTAAGTTGTAAAATTTAATAGTGTTACATGGCTGGCCGAGAGTCGGAATCTATCAAGCATATTCTTTTCATCCTGCAAATGTATCTTATATTAATTATTATTTATTGTGTCATAAGTGAATATCTTACTGAAGAGGTAATATGTTTTTATGATGTAAAATTTTGTATGTAGCAAGAAATATTTTTTAATAATGGGATACTATGCAATTTCTCGAACTAGACTGAGAAAAAAAATTTTTTTCATTTGGAAAAAAAATTTTTTAGTAAAAACTTGAGAATTTTAATCAAAAATTTTTCAATAAAAAAAGATATAAAGATTTCTTCAGCTAAGAAATAAAATTGCTTAAAATTTTAAGCAAATTAATTTCTTGTTACAAAAATATTTATTTTTTTCTAAAGAAATTTTTTTTCTCAGTGAAGATTATAAGAATATGACTATTTAGTTTTTGAATTAATAATTAATTTAGAGCCCCAATTGTTGCAAAGCGTTCTCCGAATATTCTTGGTGTACTTTAACGATAGATTGTGGCAAAGATTTTCTTTATTGTATTAAAAGATCTCAAAAACTTTTGGGACTAGATGCTGGAAAATTTACGACCTATAGCTTAATCGCTTTAACAGTTGTAAGTAAATTTTACTACACTGTGGTTTTTTAACTTTGAAGTTTTATAAGATAATATAAATGACTTTGGTCATATGTAAATACTTCGTATATGTATTAATAAAGTAATTAATATAAATGATTTTTCTTCAATAGGTCACACAAACTGCGGTTGGTCACTTGAGTGCTCTAAAAAATTTTTTAATCAGAGAAAGAATCAGTCCATCAATCAGGATCTTATATTAAAATTGTTATTGTTATTAGATGTTAATTATATTTTTGTAAATTTAGTTGTAATGTTAGAAAAATAAGAAAAGTAAATGGTGTTGTTTTGTTGAAATATTTAGTTTACGTAATAAATATTGTCTTTAAAGACGTGCAATTATTTATGGATGCAATTTAATAAAAATATTTTTTATGGTTTTTGCCTAAAATTTAGTGAAGTGTATTAGATTAAAAGTAAGAAATATTTCAGGTGAACATTAAAATTTAAATACTTCCGATTTCAGTAAAGTAAAGAAGATAAATGAAAAGTGTAAGTAAGAACAAGTTTAATTAATTATATTGAAACTAATGACTGATAATTGCTCACCAGGATCAGGAAGCATTGAAGAAAGGTTCTGAGATATTTAAATGGCCGGAAAAAATTTCGAAAGTCGTTGGTCTGTGGCCTTTATCGTTGAATCCCTATTTATTTGGTATAGGTACATGTTATTATACTTCTTATCTGGTGCTAGCAATAATAGACATGTATAAATCGGTCACCAATACTGAAATGTTCATTGATAATATTTCGGAGACTTTGGGAATTGTGATGGTATTCGTCCGTATGTTATTTTTCTCTATCAACATTTCTAGTCTTGGTGAGATATTTTCGCAAGTATTCAAGGATTACAACGTCAGTGATTTTAAAAATTCTGAAGAAATCGAAGTATTTATGCAGTTTATTAATAAAGGTATATTTTTGTTAAGAGGATTCGCCAGTTTCATGATAGGAACCGAATTCGTTTGGTACTTCGGTTCATTGGCAGCAACACGTAAGTATTATCATTAACTTGCATTTATAACAAATCATACGTGTTGATTTCTTCCAATTGCTTTTTAAATAATATTACAGCTGAGTTCTTCATTGATGACAACAATCAAACAATATTTATCATTCCCTACAAACTTTATTTTTTCCATGAAATAAATAGCTTGACGCGTTATTACTTGACATTCTTATGCATTATGCCAACGGTTTGGCTCTTTGGCTTCGGAAATATGTCAGTGGATTCCATTTTGATATCACTGCTTTTTTATATCAGTGGAAAGATGGCTGTGTTGACAATGAGGATTGACGCGCTCGAAAACGGCCCTGATTCCAGGAAGAAACTCAATGGAATAATCGCCGAGCACTCTAAATTATTGAAGTAATTATTCCACTTGAAATTGATTAATTTAAGCAAAATTTATAAATATAAACAATTTTATTATTTGAAGAATGGGAGATGGCGTTAAAGATGCTTACAGTGCTGGATTACTAGTTTACTTGGTAAATACCAATGTGATAATCTGCATTATCGGCTACCAAATTTTAATAGTAAGTAAATTTTCGCCATTATTGTTAATCATAAGACATTATTAATATTTGAATTCTAATAGAGTTTTATGGCGGGAGGGCAAGAAGCAGAAATAATTCTATTTAGTCTGTTCATGATGCAAATGTATGCGATGTTAAGTATTTATTGTATGATCAGTGAACATATGACTGCTGAGGTAATTTACAACGTTGTTCAATTTTCGTTTAAATATTTTTATCAACTCAGCATTATTCTTTCTTCAATATAGAGTCTGAAATGTTGCGAAGCATTTTACAACATTCGCTGGTACAATTTTCCGATTGATTGTAGTAAAGATATTGTTTTCTGTATTGAACGTTCTCAACAACCGCTTGCACTTTGGGCAGGTCAATTTACAACATTTAGCAGCGTTACTCTTACAGACGTGAGTTGTATAATATTTTTATAGAAAGAAGAATATAGCTTACACAATTTTTTAAAAATTCGGTAATTATTGATTATTTCTTCTTTAAATAGGTAACAAAGACCGCATTGAGTTACCTGTCAGTTCTTCGTAGCTTCAAGATCGCCGAGTAAAATTGGTTTGTCAATCCATATCTTCTTCGGAAGATATGATGTTTACAACTTATCAATAGTATCAACGAGTTCCCTATCAAAAAATGTAGATACCTATTTGAATTAAAAATATCATTTTGATTTATTTAATAATTAATGTGCAAAATAAATGTGCTTTAATTGAACTGCGATTTATTTATTTATGCCATTAAATTGGTCGTGATATTCATGAGGTCAGAAAAACTGCGGTTGGTTACTTGAGTGTTCTTAGAAATTTTTTAATTAGAGAATGCATCAGTCTATCAATCAGGACCTTATATTGAAATTGTTAATGTTATTAGATGTTAATTATATTTTTGTAAATTTAATTGTAATATTAGAAAAATGCGACAAGAAAATGGTGTTGGTTTATTGAAAGATCTAGGTAACAAAAAAAATCTTATATTTAGAGATCTGTGATTATCTAGGGATACAATTTCAGTATCTAAATTATTTGTATAAAAGGCTTACGTCGAATTTCAAGCTTTCTTTTTCTACAATTTTGTGAAGTGTATATATTAGGTTAAAAGTAGAAAATGTTCTAGATAATGATAAAATTTTCAATATCTCCTATTTCAGCGATCAGGTAAAGAAGACAAATGGAAGGCGTAAGTAAAAACAAGTTTAAATAATTAATTTAAAACTGATGACTGATAATTGTTCACTAGGATCAGAAATCGTTGAAGAAAGGTTCTGAGATATTTAAATGGCCGAAAAAAATTTCAAAAGTCATTGGTCTGTGGCCTCTTTCACTGAATCCCTATTTATTTTGTATATTTACATGTTATTTTACTTCTTATATGGTGCTAGCAATGATAGACATGTATAAATCTGCCACCACTACTGAAATGTTCATCGATAATGTTACGGAGACTTTGGGGGTTGTGCTGGTATACGTCCGTATATTATTGCTTCGCTTCAACATTTCTAGTCTTGGTGGAATATATTCCCAAGTATTCAAGAATTACAACGTCAGTGACTTCGAAAATTCTCAAGAAATTGAAGTATTTATGCAGTTTATTAATAAAGGTATATCTTTGCTGAAAGGATTTGCCAGTTTCATAATAGGAACTGAAGTCATTTGGTACTTCAGTTCATTAGCAGCAACACGTAAGTCTTATCATTAACTTGCATTTATAACAACTCAAACGTGTTGATTTCTTCTAATTGCTCTGTAAATTTTATTACAGCCGAGTTTTTTATTGATGATAACAATCAAACAATATTTATCATTCCCTACAAACTTTATTTTTTCCATGAAATTAATAGCTTGACGCGTTATTATTTGACATTCTTATGCATTATGCCTTCGATTTGGATCTTTGGCTTCGGAAATGTGTCAGTGGATTGCATATTGATTTCACTGCTTTTTTATATCAGTGGAAAGATGGCTGTCTTGACAATGAGGATTGAAGCGTTAGAAAACTGCCTTAATCCCAGGAAGAAACTCAATGGAATAATCGCCGAGCACTCTAAATTATTGAAGTAATTTTTCCACTTAAAATTGATTAATTTAAGCAAAATTTATAAATATAAACAATTTTATTGCTTAAAGAATGGGAGATGGCGTTAAAGATGCTTACAGTGCTGGATTACTAGTTTACTTAGTAATTATCAATTCAATAATTTGCATTCTCGGCTACCAAATTTTGATAGTAAGCATATTTTCGTTATTATTGTTAATCTTAATACATTATTAATATTATTAATTCTAATAGAGTTTTATGGCGGGAGGTCAAGAAGCAGATATAATTCTATTTAGTCTGTTCTTGATGGAAATGTATGCGATGTTAAGTATTTATTGTATGATCAGTGAACATATGACTGCTGAGGTAATTTACAACGTTATTCAATTTTCGTTTAAATATTTTTATCAACTCAGCATTATTCTTTCTTCACTCTAGAGTCTGAAATGTTGCGAAGGATTTTACAACATTCGCTGGTACAATTTGCCGATTGATTGTAGTAAAGATATTGTTTTCTGTATTGAACGTTCCCAACAACCGCTTGCACTTTGGGCAGGTCAATTTACAACATTTAGCAGCGTTACTCTTACAGACGTAAGTTGTATAATATTTTTGTAGTAAGAAGAATATATAGCTTACATTATTTTTCTAAAACTCGGTAATAATTGATTATTTCTTCTTTAAATAGGTGACAAAGACTGCGTTGAGTTACCTGTCAGTTCTTCGCAGCTTCAAGATTGCTGAGTAGAATTCGTCTATAAATATCTTATAATTTCTTGACAAAAAAATGTAGATACCCATTTGAATTTCGACTATCCTTATAATTCATTTTTCTTATTTATGTGCAAAATAAATGTGCTTTAATTGAACTACAATTTATTTATTGCCGTATAAAATTAACCGTGATTTTTACCTTCCTCTTGAAAACATAAAATTTTTAATGATCGACCATTCTAATCCAATTTGAAGATATATTAAATTAACACCATGTAAAAAGATGCATAATTAGGACGATCCGAGTATTACTGGGCTAACACAGCTAGTTTAAGTTTCCGAGATTGTAAAACAATTTTTAAATTTTATATTTCAGCAATCCACTGTAATTTTTCTCACTTTTTTTGCACCATTTATATTTCATCATGGAAGAAAACATGAAAAGTGCAAGTGAGTCAAGAACGACGAAAAGAGTAAGTAAAAGTAAAATTTAGATTTCTTCTATGAAACTAACGATTGATCGTTTAAATTGCTCATCAGGATCAGAAAACGCTGAAGAAAGGTTATAAAATATTCAAATGGACTAAAAAAATATCGACAGTAATTGGTCTGTGGCCATTATCGCAGAATCCCTTTTTGTTTACTATATGTACAGTTTATTATATTATTTACGTGGTTCTAGCATTGTTAGATATGTATAAATCATTTGACAATACTGACGAATTAGTTGATAATGTTACGGAGTCTATGGCAGTTATCTACATATACTTCCGCATATTATTTCTTCGTGTCAACATTTCTAGTCTTGGTGAAATATATTCACAAGTATTCAAGGATTACAACGTGAAGGATTTCGAAAATTCTCAAGAAATTGAAGTATTTATGCAGTTTATTAATAAAGGTATATTTTTGGTGAGAGGATTCGCCAGTTTTATGATAGGGACCGAAGCCGTTTGGTACTTCAGTTCATTAGCAGCAACACGTAAGTATTATCATTAACTTGCATTTATAACAACTCATACGTGTTGATTTCTTTTAATTGCTTTGTAAATTTTATTACAGCTGAGTTTTTTATTGATGATAACAATCAAACAATATTTATCATTCCCTACAAACTTTATTTTTTCCATGAAATAAATAGCTTGACGCGTTATTATTTGACATTCTTATGCATTATGCCTTCGATTTGGGCCTTTGGCTTCGGATATGTGTCAGTGGATTCCACTTTGATTTCTCTGCTCTTTTATATCAGTGGAAAGATGGCTGTGTTGACAATGAGGATTGACGCGCTCGAAAACGGCCCTAATTCCAGGAAGAAACTCAATAAAATAATCGCCGAGCATTGTAAATTATTGAAGTAATTATTCCACTTAAAATTGATTAATTCAATAAAAATTTATAAATACAAACAATTTTATCGTTTGAAGAATGGGAGATGGCGTTAAAGATGCTTACAGTGGTGGATTACTAGTTTACTTAGTAAATACCAATGTGATAATCTGCATTGTCGGCTACCAAATGTTAATAGTAAGTAAATTTTCCTCAATGTTAATCTTCAATATTAATTATGTAATTTTTAATAGACTTTCATGGCACCCGGTCGAGAGGCGGACTTTTTTCGATATGCTCTGTACATGGGCGAAATGTATATGTTGTTAAGTATTTTTTGTATGATTAGTGAACACTTAACTGCTGAGGTAATACCTTTCTTCATTTTCTTTAGATTTTTTTTATAAAAACTTATTATTTCTTCTTTATTTTTGTAGAGTTTAAAATGTTGCGAAGCATTTTACAATTGCCAGTGGTACGACTTGCCAATTGATTGTAAAAAAGACTTAATTTACTGCATCGAACGCTCTCAAAAACCTTTGGCTCTAACAGCCGGTAAATTTACAATATTCAGTAACGTCACTATGACTAATGTAAGTTCTATAATACACATTATTGAAATCAAAAGAAGAATATAGTCTTGATTGTTTTTTAAAAATTTTGTTCACTAGGTCACAAAAGCTGCGATGGGGTACTTGAGTGTGCTGAGAAATTTCTTAGATGAATAATAAATTAGATCTTTAGCTCACCGTGTTAGTTATATTATTAATTATATGTATAATTATCATGAGTTGTGATTTATGATTTAAATGAAGTAGATAGAGTTAACTAATATGGTTTGTGTTACAAAAAATACTTTTTTACACATATTTTAGAAACTCTTATCTCTTCATTATATTCTTCTCACTTCTATCGCTTGAAAATGGTGTTGATTTATTGAATTATTAATATCACAAAATAAATTTAGTTAAATTGGATTATAGTTTATTTTTCTTTTCTACAGAATCAAATTATTTAATCCTACATCAAATTAATTTATTGAAGAACCGTTTTTATTTCTTCTCTATTCGCACTTATTGAAAGAAATCGTATTTGTTCACTAATTTTATGAGACTTTCTTAATTTTTGAAAATTTACTTACAAATAAAAAAAATTGCAATGTGAAGACGTTCCATAAATATTATGATACTGAAGTTAGCTGACACCTGTCAATTTTTTAATTTCCACAACAAATCAATTACAATAAAAAAAAACACTTTCAAAAATTTCCACTAATAAATTCTTTTAATTTTTACACATGGAATTTTTTAATTAAGTTTTTTTCATAATAATTTCATTGCTATAAAATTATAAAAAAATTTTTAATGTCAGTTAACTTGAGTGTCATAAAATATTCCTTGAATTAATAATTGACTTCTAAAAAATTTTTTAATTTTCACTGTGATGAAATAAAACTGTCAACAACTTAGCACAAATTTTTCATCACGTCAATTTAATTAAGCTTCTTCTCAATCTTGTTGGCGGTCAAAGACTGATCTACGACAGTAAAGAACAATATACATTGACCAAATTCGCGCATGTGCCGTAAGCGTGTTGCTAAACAAATAAAAACAAAGTTATTGTAAACTTTAAATTTTTCTTCTCCGCAAACACAAAGGATGGCCATAAGTTAATTGTCCTTTGTCATTCTATAAACAATAAATGTTCAGTATATGCTATTTTTGCTTTAAAACTTTTCGATGCTGGTAACAAAAAGTAAACTTACGCCTGCGTACATATAAAAATAATAAAACTTTCAGCAATTATATGTATAGCCCGCGGACTTTCACCCAACAAAGAAATGTTTACTTCGGAGATTGTCACAGCCGAGGATCCCTCATTCGACATAAACTTTTTCAATTGACAAGACATGGAAGAAGAAAAGCACCAAGTAAGCGCTGTGATATTACATGACACTAAAATCAGCTGACATTGAAAATTTTTTTAATTTTTTTAATTAATTAAATTAGAACTACAAAAAATATTTTTAAAAAATTGCACTTATAGTTTTTCAAATTTTTAACAAGACAAATTGTTCTTTTTAATTTTTTCTATTCATTTTTTTAATAAGATAAATCCTAAAAATCTTCAGATGTCTGCTAATTTTATTTTCATTAATATTACATCAGTTTGTTTTATAAAAAATTAATTGTCAAATTATTTGCAGATAAAAGAATTAATTGCAGAGGGTGTCAAAGTTTTTGATTGGGCGAACTGGATTTCCGTGGGAATCGGGGTCTGGCCCCTTACCCCAAACAACTATCTTTTTAACTTAGTTTTTGTTTATTTTACAGTGGTGATGATTCTAGAGTACACGGACCTTTTTGTGCATATTGATGATTTCGCATCTGTCGTGGATAACCTGTCAGAGAATCTGGCGCTTACCATTGTTTATTCGTACACCTTCTCGCTGAGGTTTTATGAAAAAAAGCTAGCTCAAGTTTTTAGAGAAACACTGATGGATTATGACAGTGATAAAGCGTTGAAAAATATGAAAGAAGTTAAACTGTTCATGGTGTACACAAACAACGCAAAATTTTTTGCTAAATACATTATTATATTGATAGCGCTTACTGATTTTGTTTGGTTGTTCCAACCGCTGATTTTTATGTCTACATTTGGTGCGTTCAACTTTTTTATTTTACATTTTTTTTTTAATGAGTAATAGTAACTATTTAGATTCAACGCTTTTTGAAATTATCGAAGAAAATGTAATTGCTCTGAAAAGTTGCAACTTTATGGTTGATTACAAATGCATTGTCTTGAAATTTATTATTCAACAGAAGATTAGCGATTAATCTAAAAAATTACTTATAATTATAATTACTATTGGTAACATTTTATTAAATGTTTTGGAAAAGATGCTGGGATTGACATTGATAATAAAACAAGATCTTTTATATTACCATATCATTTTCACATTTGCTACAAATTGGATGATTTTAAAACCTACGCATTAACATATCTTTGGCAGAGCCCATTTGCAGCCATTAATTGTTTTGGTATAAGTAGTTTTAATGTTTTTTTATTAATTCTTGTTTTCCATGTAAGTGGAAGAATGGCTGTTTTAACTGGAAGAATTGATGAATTAAAATTTGAAAAAGTTAACTTCCAACGTAAGCTTAATGAAATCATTATAGAGCACATTAGAATTTTAAAGTAAGGACAATTCCTTTGTGCCTCTAATGGATTTACCATTCCAATAAAATTTTATATTATTAATACTTAAATGTATTTCTATTAGCTTGGGAAGTAAAATTTCAGATATATTTGCTGCGCCATTATTGATATTTTTTGTATTAACTAACTTGCTACTCTGTATTAGTGTATATCAAATATTGCTTGTAATTATTTTTTTCTACTAAGCTAAAATATTCAACTGTTGCTGCTATTTTTATATTAATATCATAAGAAATATTTTTCAGAATATTATGACAGGACTTAATACGAATATTCTTCAGTATATTGTATTATTAATAACAGTTTATCTTATGTTGTATGTTATTTGTATGAATGGTGAGCGTCTTTCTGACGAGGTGACTATTTAAAGATTGATATATATTTTTTATAAATAAATTTATGAATTTTTTATGATCGGCATTACTGTATCTTGTTTAACAATTATTATTTTTTTTTTTTTATATAGGGAAATAAAATCAGTCAGTCATTTTACAATTGTACTGAATATAACTTCCATGATATTAAAAGCAAAAAAAAAATAATATTTTCTCTACTGAGATCACAAAAACCACTCACACTTAAAGCTGGAAAATTTTCCGACTTTAATTATGAAACGTTATCTAATGTAAATTTTTCATTTAAGTTTATTAATAATTATTATTTCTATTCACTGTTTGATTATCAATTATTTTAATTAATTTTCAGATCACTAAATCAGCGGCTGGATACTTGTCAATACTTAGAAAATTATTAATATAGATTAATTTATTTTAAATCTAGTCGAAGTAATTCTAAAATGTAGTGGTTATTAATTTATTTAAATTTTGTTGAAGAAATTTACTGTAATTCATGAAGCAGAAAATAGTTCATTTGTAGGAATTAATGCACATATTGTGCTAAAATTTTAATATAAATTTTCAACTATTAAACATGAAATTCTTCAAATTTTTAATTAAACTTAACTATAATTCTGTTTGCTATAGTCATTTTTTTTTCACTTGTGGTTAATTAAAGATTTCTTCTCTTTAAACTAGTTTTAAAAAAAGCGCAAGACCAGTTCGTTATATTTTTTTTAATCAAGAAAAAAATTTTGTGAAAAACGTATTGAACTTTTTTCTTCACACAGAAAAAAAGAATGAATTTAAAACTTTGTAATTTATGACTGAAAAACGCGCGTGATAAATAATAAAAAATATTAAATGCTGCTAAATAAATTGATTGCCAAACTTTTACTCATGATTTATTTACCTTTGAAAGTATTATCAATTTTGTTTTAAATCTCACTTGCTCAAGCATTGAAATCACTCGATATAAGTAACAAGGCATTAAACCCTCGGAAGTTTCCACAGAACTAAACTATAATTCTGTTTGCAAGCGGACAAACATCGCGCATGATCAAGCAAAAAAATTCAGCCAAGTTTTTTTCCGTGTGTACATACAGAGAAAATAAATACATTGTAAAATATTGTGTACATCTAAAAAAACTCGCGTGGGTGACCCCACGATACATTGTATCAACATGAATGAAAAAAACGAGGGTTTCAAGGGAACAGTTGAATCAATAATAGTGACGCCCAGGTGGAGCGATTGAAAAAATAAAGCTCTAGTATGATTACACGGTAAGGTACTCAATAAAAAATTATATGCATACTGAATAATGTTTACTTCGGACAATGTTGCGAGCTCATGCTATCATTCTTGTGAAATTTATTCAACCAAAAAGTTATGGAAGAATACCGTAATCGTGTAAGCTTTTATTGAATTTATTTCATTTCATTCAAAGATTTTATAATTTATGTCGCAATTTTAATAAATATTTTTTTACATGTTTTATTTTGTCAAGTTAGGTTGAAAAATAGCATTGGTCTCTTATAATTTATATGTGTATGTGCATAACGCGCATACGATCTTCGATCATTTTTTATAAAGTTTTGTGGAATTACTCTATAAATTCATACCGAGATCAAATTTTGAAGATTAACTAAATCTTCTGATTAGTTTACAAGCTGTGGGTGTTTATTTTTTTTTTCTAAATTTGTGAATTTTATTGAAAAAGTTTTTCAATTCTAAAAAATAGTTTAAATATTTAATCATTATCTCAAAGGAATGTTGACAAGATAGGATCATAATAACAATTACATTATTATTTCTGCATGTTATTGTTATTATTTATTTATTTATTTATTTATTTATTAAAGATCAAACCCAACAGCCAGAGCCATTTACAGGGTTAATAATATATATATATACACAAAAAAAAAAATGTTCTTGAATCAAGTATATAATTTTGAAGAACTCAATATTTTTGATTTGAGTAGAAAAATTTTTGATTTCAGGAAATTTTTCTTGTTTTGAGGAAATTTTACTTGATTTAAGAATTTTTCGTCTTGATTCAAGACAAATAATACCCTCTTCAAAATTATATTTTTGGTTCAAGAATTTTTCTCTTGAATCAAGTTAATTTTTTTTTTCAGTGTACAGAGTACTTATAAGTAGACAAATTTAGTTTTTTTTTAATTACAAGATGGCCATATGGCGAGTAAACATTGTTTATTATAAGTTGAGTCCATAGTTGACTCATTTATATTGTGCAGCTATGGGTAGATGACAATATAAAAAAAAAGTAAATTATAAATTAAGAAATAGAAATATAAATTGAAAAGAAATAATAATTGCACAGAAATAATAATTTTACAAAGGTGATTAGTATAAGTATTCATAGAGAGATTTGACCAGTCCGTTTGATGTAGGACAATAATCAGGTGAGACTTTTCATATTTTTTAAAATTAAAGTTGTGAGGAGACGCAACCATCTCAGGAGATTTATTAGGTTTTTAGCTAGGCTAAAATCAACAAATAAAGCAGGATGAAATAAGTCAATATGATCCTATTTTGTCCACATTCATAATTATTGATAATTATGGACGATAATATTAACAACATTATCTTAAAGTTTAAAATTTAAAGCGCATAATTATCTTCAATTTAACTTATTATTTTCTTCATTTTAATTTAAGAAATCTACTTATTCATTTATGGGGTGTAGAAAAATGCGGCTTTTTATATTTTTTTAATAACACGTGAAGAATATAGAATTTTTTTAATAATTTATAATAAAAATTCGGCTTACCTAGGATGAGCGCGATTTGGAAAACGGTGTTAGAGCTTTTTACTGGGGTAGATGGATGTCAAGATGGATTGGAGTATGGCCGCTGGCACCAAATTTTTACTTGTTTAACGTAACATTCGCCTACTTCACTGCCGTCATGCTACTGGAGTACGTAGATCTCTTCTTCTGCTTACCCAACTTCGAGAAAGTCCTGGATAACCTGACAGAAAATTTGTCATTTACAATAATCTACGTCCGCACATTGATGTTACGCGTACATAACCATAAACTAGGCTCAGCGATCAGAGAATGCTTGAAGGACTCGAAAGTCAGTGCCTTCAGAAATTCGAAAGAGATAGACATGTTTGTGCAGTATACCAAAGAAGGAAAATTTTTCGCCAAGTTCGTCATTGCTTTTGCAGCAATGACTGAAACTTCGTGGTATTTGAGGCCCATAACCTCGCACACGGCCATAAAAGGTAAGTAATGCTAATTTTTATTTTTATTTAAATAATTATAGATAAATAAAATTTTAGTCATACCTAACAATGAAACGGAGAACAACATGACGCTGAAGTTCAATTTGCCATTTCATTTTTACGTTTTTTACGAGATTAATTCCGTGAAGACTTACTTCCTGACGTATCTCTCACACGGTCCTTTTGTTCCTATAAATGGCTTCGGGACTGCTAGCGCAAATTGTTTCCTCATTGCGCTTTCCTTCCATATCAGCGGTCGGATGGCTGTTTTAGCTGAAAGAATAAAAGGATTGAGAGATAATCCTGCAACTTATAAAAAGGAATTGAAGTTAATTATTGATGAACATATAAGACTATTGAAGTAAAGTATTTCATTTTTTTATGACATACTTGACAATTTTTTTATTTTATGAAAATTAATTTAGCCGATATTTGATAATTTTTGTAACAAATAAATTATAAAAAAAAAATTATTTACATGTAAAAATTTAAAAAAATTAAAAATACTATTTTTTAAAAATAATTTTTCAGAATAAATTTTTTTGTTAAATAAAATTTTGAGTTACTACTAACTTTAATGTAATTTTAATTTTATTTGACAAATAAATTTGTTCCATAAAAATTATTTTTAAAAAATGACATTTTTTATTTTTTTAAATTTCTTCATATCAATTTTTTTTGTCACAATTTATTTGTTAAAAAAAATTATTAAATTAATTTTTAATTTATAATTATTGATAATAATTAATGAAGAAATAAAAAATTATATTTTCAGAATGGGAGAAGATGTAAAAGTTTCTTATGCAGTTAACTTGTTGGTATATTTACTGAACGGAACAATTCTTCTCTGTATTATTGGATACCAAATACTTTTGGTAAGTTACGAATATCAAATTAATTTTAATAAATAAATTAATAATAATTTATTTATTTTACAGACTCTTACCATAGGACCAAAAACCAACATAATGCCTCTAATTGTTTACATAATGACCATGTACATGGTGATAGCAATTTTTTGCATCCTCAGTGAAAATTTGATTGCTGAAGTAATAAGTATTTAACAAAAAAAAATAATTTTGGACTTTAATAAAAATTATAAATTGATTATTTTATATTTTCAAAGTCTCAAAAAGTGTCCGAAGCGTTTTGGATATGCGGTTGGTACGACATGCCTCCAGATTGCAAAAGTGACATTTATTACTGCATCGCAAGGGCCCAAAAACCATTGGGACTCACTGCAGGGAAGTTTTTGACTTTTGGGTACGGAACAATCACCGATGTTACGCGAACTGCTGTTGGTTATCTTTCGGTTAGCATAAATGATGTTTTTATCGCATTAAAAATATGCAAAAAAAATTTATTCACTGTTTTAAAAAATATTTTAACTAATATTTTTTAAACAATTTAGTGAAGAAATAAAGAATTATAACTTTAACTTTGAAACTTGAAACTTTTCAGGTTCTGAGAAACTTTTTGCTGTTGGAAGACGAGTGATTAAATGAAGAACTAAAAACTGTGAAAAAATAATTTCTTTGAAACTGTTAAAATAAATATAGCACCAAAAATAATGTTATGTATTTGTTGAAAATAAAAAAAATTATTTAGCGTAAATAAAAAAGCTTTGTTACTCTATTAGACAAAAAAACTATATCCTTGTGCTGGCAGAACTTCAAATAACGCGAAGTTCCCGTAAAAAATGGAAGTTCGGAGAAAACCGCAATAATAGCTGTGTAGAGTTTTAAGTTTACAAAATATTAAATGTATAAACAAAAGTTTAAATTGCCGTGCAATTATAGATATAGTACCCACATCCCTACCAGGAAAATGTTTACCTCAGACGTCGCCGGGAGCTCTAGTCCGTCATTCTTAAAAAGTTCCTCCAAGGGATCAACATGGAAGAACTTAGTTCCGTGAGTGGTAATTGGAAAAAATAGACCCGGAAAAAAAAGACCTGGAAAAAATTTTAAAGTTATGAAAAATTCATATTATTTATTAAAAATTCATATTATTATTATAATAATAATAATTATTATATCACACCCACAATTTTCCTGAAAAACAAGCACCCTGAGAATGATCGTTACATTTTTTGTTATAAAAAAAAATATCATTATTATTATTATTATTATTATTATTATTATTTTTATTATTTTTATAATAATTTTAATGAAATAATATGAATTTTTCATAACTTTAAAATTATTTCGGGTCTATTTTTTCCGGGATTCCCGTGAGTTTGATAAGTATTTTCCAGCGACAAAATTTATTTCTTCACTATTTTAGGACCAAAAAGACTTGAATGAGGGAGTTAAAATATTCAATTGGGGTAGGCGAGTGTCAAAAGGCCTTGGAATGTGGCCTCTGGCGCCCAATAACTATATTTTCGTGATAACATTTTTTTACTTCACCTTTGCGATGGGCCTTGAGTGGTTGGACTTCATCAATTCTCTCCACGATTTGGACAAAGTTATTAACAATCTTTCGGACAGTCTTGCGTTTACTCACACCTTTGTGCGCGGACTGATTCTTAGGTTCCATGTCAAGGAAATACGGATGCTGATTAACAGCTCAATGCAGGACTTTAATATTGGTACCTTCAAAAATTCAACTGAAGTTAAAATTTTCTTGAATCACATCGACAGAGGTAAGCGTGTTACTAGGTATATTATCTTGTTCATCGCCATCACGGAAATCATTTGGTTTCTTCAACCGCTGGCTATTCCTGGACATTTTGGTAATTTCTTCTGCAAAATATTAAAAATTATTTTTAATAAATTATTTCAATAATATTTTTAATAAATTATTTCAATAATTTTTTTAATAAATTATTTCAATAATTTTTTTAGTAAAATTTTAATTAATAATTTTTTTAGTGAGTGATAATGGAACAATCAAATATATTTTGCCTTATCAATTTCACATCGTCTACGAAATCGACAGTTTTAAATCCTATGTTATAACATATATTTTATACACCCCTCATATGTTTATTACCGGGTTCAGCCATTCTTCAACAGAATGCTTTCTGATAACACTCGTCTATTATATAAGTGGAAGATTGGTCATTGTCGCTGAACGAATTAATTGGCTGAGTAAAAAAAAAAATTTCTGTGAAGACGATCTTAATGACATCATTAAAGAGTACACAAGATTATTAAAGTAAAAGTAATTTTGTAAATTAACTTTTTTTTTTTTACTTTTACCTTTTTTTACTATTTGTTTTTATAATATTATTTTTATAATTTTGATATAGATTAGGAGAAACAGTGATTAATTCATATAAATCATCATTGTTTATCTATATGATGAATTCTACATTACTTTTGTGTATTATTGGATATCAAATTTTGATTGTAAGTAAGACACTGAAGTTAACTGACTAGATATTTTTTAATAATTTTTTAACAATTAAATTATTATGAAAAAAATTTAATTAAAAAATTCCACATGTGAAAATTATAAATAATTATTAGTGATATATAATTGACATTAGAAATTTTTTAGCAATAAAATTATTATAAAAAAAATTTAATAAAAAATTCCACATGTGAAAATTATAAAAATAAAAAAAAATTGTCAGCTAACTCAGTATCATTTATAAGTTGTTTAATTGCTAATAATAAACATAATTAGTTACCAAACTTGTTATTTATATTGACAGCATATAATGGTCGGTCCAAAGATCAAATTAATTCATTGTTTTGTATACATATTTACAATATACTTGGTAATAACTGTCTTTTGTATCGTTAGCGAGCGCTTAATCGCAGAGGTAATATAAGTAATTGATTAATTTATCTGAAAGTTTGTAATTAAAAAAAAATTTTTTTACAGAACCAAAAAGTTTGTCAAGCTTTTTGGAACTGTTCTTGGTACAACATGCCTCCAAAGTATGTTAAGAAAATAACACTTTGTATTCTAAGATCTCAGAAGCCCCTTGCGTTGAAAATTGGAAAATTTTCCTACTTTGGAATCAGCACGTTAACAAATGTAAATCAATATTATATTATTATTAATTACGAATTATAAATTTTATTTCGAAATTTTTTAGACGACAAAATTGGCGATGAGTTATTTGTCGGTATTACGTCGGTTTATAATAACAGAAGTTTCTAACTAATCTACTAGAAAATTGCAATAAATTATTATATTGAGAAGAAATAAAGTACTGACATTAGATTAAGCATTGTATAACGAAGCGACAAAAAATGACTGATAAAAAACTTTCATTTGATATTTAATAACCCGCTGTGAAATAAACGCACAAATTTATACAGCGCATATCTTGAATCCTGATATGGATTTTAAAATATACTTTTAACATAGACATATACTAGCGTTAAAAAAATACTTATACAGCTTTTTTAATGTTTTGATAATTAAAGAATATATTAGTAATTTTTTTTACCATTCATTACTCACATTTTCACTCTCAAACACAATGCACTATAATCACATTGATTAAAATTCCAAAAATAAAATTTATACTTCAAATTTGAGTCGTATGAAAGTGTCATTTCATTAGAAATTATTTAGAATACTTGAAGCAGGTACTATAGACATTGTATCAAATGGTCTTCAAGATTTTCAATGACAACTGTGAGGTACTGATTCGCTTTGTGCTCAGTGAGTCCGTAAATACTCAACTGAAAGTTGTGTAGAGGTAAAACTTATCAAAACTTTCTAGAATAAACAAACTTCCAAATTGCGGTAATTATAAGTATAGTATTCAAACGTTCAATATGTTTCTTCGATGGTACCGCCAGTTTATTTCCGTCATTTACAATAAAGTTTCCAAACCAAGAAGACATGGAAAAGTTGAGTTCTGATCAAAAACAGCTGGACGAGGGTGTCAAAATATTCGATTATAGCAGGAGAGTGTCTAAAGCCGTAGGATTGTGGCCTTTAGCTTCAAATGATTACATTTTTACTTTCTCGTATTGTTATTTCACGGTGATACTGATTTTTGAGTGGATGGATTTGTACTACTCGCTGGATGATCTCAACAGTGTTCTCGACAATCTCACGGAAAACTTATCGTTTACTCAAATTTACATCCGTGGAATTATTTTGAGGATCCACATGAACAGATTGAAAGAAATAATTAAAAACACAATCGGTGACTTTAGTATAAATAGCTTCAAAAATCCATCGGAGATAAAAATATTCATGACTTACATCGACAAGGGTCGATTTTTCGTCAAGTCAATAATTTCTTTCATGGCGATGACTGTAATTACTTGGTACTTTCAGCCTTTGACAACCCCAGCTCCTGTCGGTAATGTAATTCCACTTTTTTACTGACATTAAATACCGTATTAAATTGATATTTATATAAATTGTGATTATAATTTCTCAGCTAGTGATAATGAGACGATATTGTTCCTTTTGCCTTATCGCTGTCACATAATTTTTGAAATAAATGATTCAAAATCTTATATGCTGACGTACATTACCTTTGCGCCTCACACATGGATCGACGGATGCAGCCACGCTTCAATCGAGTGTTTGCTTATTACTCTTGTTTATTATTTGCGAGGAAGATTAATTATCTTAGCGGGCAGAATCGACAGACTGAGTGGAATGGAAACACTTGAGTGGAAAAATGATCTTCAAGACATCATTGTGGAACACATTAGATTACTCAAGTATTTAATGATCATTGGTCATGTCTTCTCGGTGTAATTTGTTTATACGATTCCTTCTTTTAGATTAGGAAACAATGTCATCGATATCTACAGCACGTCGTTGATGGTTTATATGATTTGTACAACCACCTGCATTTGCGTTATTGGCTACAAAATACTGGTAGTGAGTATTTATTCTTCTGTTACTATTTTTAGAGCTATAAATTGTTATTAATTCTTTTCAACTTCTTGTAAAAAGTATGACTTGTATAGTTAATAAGATTTATTAGAACTGCATGACCGGACCAGATGCGGATTTAGTCCAATTTTTTATATATATATTTGCGGTGTACCTCATAATGGCGGTATTTTGTTTCATCAGCGAGCAGCTCATGTCTGAGGTATGAAAAATTACTGTTAAAATTTACCGCAAAGGTAAAATATATATTTTTGACAGTGTGATAAAATTAGCGAAGCTTTTTGGAATTGTGAATGGTACCGAATGCCGCCAAAGACTGTTGTTAATGTCATGTTCTGTATCCAAAGATCTCAACGACCACTTACGCTGAAAATCGGAAAATTTGCACACTTTGGCCACAATATGCTGACGGTTGTCACCAAAACAGCCATGGGTTACTTAAGTGTCTTACGTAACTTTTTAGTAATTGAGTAATTAATGTGTTAAAAAACTTTTCGTTATGATAAAAAATCATAAAAAGATAAATAACTTTGATGGGGCCCTAAATCTATTCGGGTTCAATCAACCTACAACCACCAATGCATTGGCGTCCGTCCTGGTGTCCTTTCGGAATAGGAGCTAATTTATTCTCCTGTAATATTTTTGACTAAATAACGCAATAATACCAATTTAATTCATTTTGGCCAGGTTTCAAATCTTAACAGATGTTTAAATCGCAAATTTTCAGTTCTTTAACATTCTTCTTTTTGTTTTTCTTTTTTTTTTTTTCTTTATTTTTCTACTATTTCTCAAAATGCAAGTACAATGCGTTTCATTGATTCTTTATGGTCGGAAATTTTACAGAAAATGGAAACATCAAATTTTGGAAATCTGTGAGTAAGGAAATCAATAAATGAAAAATATGGAAAAATAAGATTTCAGAAATAATAAAAAAATGATGTGTCTTATTGAGGATACTTTGCAATATCGATTAGTTAAAAAATAGCAATGAAAAAATGTAGTAATCAAAATAATTAGAATTATTTTAAAAAAGATAAGCGTAAAATTATAAAATCAAAAAAAAAAAAAGATTTCCGTGAAATTAGACGCATCAGAATATAAACATCTAAAATGACTGATATTTAAAAAAAAAAAGAAAAGAATAAATTCAGACAAGTCGAAAAAAAGACAATTATAAATTTAAAAACATAAAAAAA